GCTCTTTTCATTGGGCCCACACACATACTATATGTACACACACATCAAGCCACACATGCGTGACAAAATTGTTGGGTTCTTCTTGTTCTTGTAAATTCGGTTGTTCTTTTCGTCGTTTTTTTTTTTTTGTTTGGTTGTGGGTTTTCTCGCGTTTTCTTGTAGGGGGAACGGATAACTTGCTTAAGATTTACTCGACATTTGTGTTGGTGCCATTTGGCATTGTTGTTTGCATACTTTCAGGCGCAAAAAGTGGGCGGAACCATTCAATTTCACGTCCACTGTCTCGCTTCCTTTATCGGTCTCTCCTTTGACATCAAATGCTTTAAATATTTAAGTAGTTTTCCCCGTTTCCTGTTGCTGTGACTCACTGTACTTGTACGTGTGTGTGTGTGTGTGTGCGTGAGTGTGTTTGTGTTTGTGTGGGTGTAAAGGGCATCAATATCAATCTTGTGTGGATTTCATCTAACGCAAGCCACCCACTTTGCAACCCCCTCCCCCACCCCCTTCAGCAGGTGCTTCGCCCTTACCCATTTTAAACGTACAGTGGAACTTTCGCTGCCCGAACTTTAGCATGCCAAATCTTTTTGAACTTAAGCTGATTCCGATGGCTAAACTTCCAGCACTTCAAATTTCAGAACTTGAGAATTTTAATATTTTTGTCGAAAAAGTATTTTAAATGCGGGTCATCCTGATCCAACCTGTATTGGTTGAGGTCTGGATTGATTGATGGTCGATTTCAAAGAGAAACTACATAAAAAATTGCCGTTCTTATTATATTGGGTCAAAAATTGTTTTATTCTATGCAAATACAAAAATATACTTTTTAAATTGTAGGTCTATACAAGAACTAGAAACCCTTTAAATACACCAAATACAAATGCTTTTAAATATAGCGATTTAAAAGAAATATATATTTTTAAACATTCAAAAACACAAGTTTCGGCAACTAAAAAGTTTTTTGCGTTGCATACTTTTGGACACTCCATAAAAATCTCCTTTTTTGTTGAAACAATAATGTAGCATACTTATTTGGCGTCGGCCTTAAGGACATTTTGCTGTATTTGCTTTTTGCTCGCGTTGAAGTTGCTCAGAGACAGTGGCTGTCAAACTCTACGCGTGTGTTGCGGTTGACACTTATGCAACCGCAAAGTGCGGTGGCGTGTGTGTGTTAGTATGAGTGTTTGTTGCACTTGAAAAGCAACCAATTGTTGTAGTTGCTATGTAGGATTTATTTGGTTTTATTTAGTTGCTGACATAATTGCGCATTTCATTTTTTATTTAGTTGACACACATTCTGCCAAGAGCGAAAAAACACCACGGATATGTAAAGGAAAACAAACCAACAATAAATTGAGAAAAAATATAAGAAACCAACAGAAACTGAATAAATAAATAATAAATTAAGAAACATGAATCAACGAAAAACCAACAGCACGCAAATTTAACTTATTATGTTCATTTTTTCCACTACTCCTACTTCTTTCCTCCATTTTTTCCTTTGCTTCGCTTCGCTTTTCTTTACATTTTCTTCGGGGAAAACTTTGCCGTTCGTGCTGTCCCTTTCGCTCCGCCGGGGAAAAACTTTTAGTGGCGGCAGCGACGCCGGCAGAGCGACAGTAGACAACAATTACAATTAGAATGTGTGTTTAAGCCCCTCTCTCACTCGCTCATTTTCTTTGCGTATCACTTTCGCATTCGCTCCTGCTTATTCGTCTTTTTGGTTTTTTTTTTTTTTTTTTTTGGTTCAAAAAGAAATTCAACTTCATTACACAATATTTCGTCCTTTTTTTGATTACCTTTTGTTGCTTTTTTGTTGTTTGTTTGTTTGGTTGCTTTTTTGATTGCTTTTAAATGGTGGATAATATATACATACATATGTATATTTTTTACTTTTATTTAGTGTTATTCCGCTGATTCTTCTCCGTTTGATTCTTCACTGGGTTTTGCTTGATTCTTCAATACTTTGAATTTATCTGCCTTCGCTGTATTTTTTAGATGTGATTGCTCTGCTATGCGTTTTCCGCATTTCACTTTGCACTGCAGTTGTGGAAAATTGAGGAGGTGGGGGTTTTCGGGGGTTGGGGGTGGCGGAGAATAAGGAGAAACCATTAACGGGACACGAAGCACACAACAAACAAGAAAGAACAAGAAGCGAGAATCGCGGAGGAGCAGCGTGCAACAATTGCCGACTGCGACGCCGACACGTGCGCGCACTCCCCCCTTTCCCACCCCACCACCCCCCGCTATCTCTCTCTCTTTCTCACCCCCACCCCCCACTGCAATTTCCAAAAAAAATTTGACAGTAAGAGAAAAAAAAATAAAAAAAAAATTTTCGAATGGCGCACAGAAATGTTGGATTTATTTGCTGATTTTTTGAACTGGAGGACGACTCCCGGATTCTGAGGACCGCTCGACGCGAGAGTTGCGTCTTCATAGTTTTTCGCGACTACGCACCTAAAAGTCGACTACGAGTGAGTTGCGCGCTGCTAGAGCTGGAAAAACATCGATGGGAACTACCGATTGCTCAGATACTTTCCTTTTTCTTCAAACATCGATTGTTTGTAACAGCTTTGTTTAGTTTAATCACACGCCAGGTGGCGCCACTCACGATAGCATCGATGTAAGGGATCTGGAATGCGTGCGAAGGTCCTTTAGAGCATGCTCACAAGCGCGCATTTGCTATCGATTTCAAAGTGAACGGAAATATGAATAATAATTGGTAAGGTTTATTTAGATTTCATGAAGGATATTAATAAAATCAAGGAACACAATGGTAATAAAATACCTTCAGTCGGCATAAATAATCATAAATAAGGAGAAGTACCTTAAGTTGAGTTCCCTACAGCAAACTTAAACTTAATGATACCCAACCCCTCGCTTTAGGGTCAAAAGAAATAGAACAGTCGCCGGTCTAAAAAGAAAATCAAAAAGTATATCCAAATGAGAGCCCATCCAGTAAATTCGTTGTGCTTTTTTCCAAATGTGACAATTTTAAATTATTAAGGAGCTATCGATACTATTGAAAAGTATTAATAGTGTTGATGTTTTTCCCAGCGCCATCTGGTGTTGAAGCTGCGAATAAAAAGGTTTTAATTACTGACCTTTAGAGTAAGCTTATATATAAAAAAAAATGCGAATTTCACTTTTTACCATAAGTAGATTTATTGCACCCACTTGACTGAAAGGATATTTAACCTTTGGTTTGCTGATAAATAACTCTCTAAATGGGAATAGCATTTTCAACCAATTGGCATTCACAGCTTAAAATCAATTTTTCAAAACTGAGCGGGCATAGACTGCATAGTTTGTCAGCTATACAAACGCTGTGCGTTTTATTTGGCAAAGTGCAAGCAAAAAAACTGTTGAGAAATGAGTGTTTTTTCTTGTCAGAAAACACATTTTGAAAAATCGGTTTTTAAATAAAAACCCTTGGAAGTAATGGCCAAAAGTTTAAATGTCGTACATCCCTGACTTCGTTATAAAATTTCAAATCACAGTTTTAAATGTTGAATTTTTGCAAAAAATTATGTTGATCCCATATCAAAAATGCGAAAATTAGTTGGAAAGAATAGATTGCTAGCTGCGATAACAGTCTTTCTTAAGGCTGTGCGCCTTGTTATGGCCAAGTTACAAGAAGAAAATACTTACATATTGTGTTTTTTTGCGAAACTCCAAATCCCAATATATATTTTTCAAAACCCGGTTTCTGTATCAAAACCCTGCAAAGTAATGATCAATGCCAAAAAAATGGCATTCACAGTTAAAACTTTTTCAGTTTTCCAAATTTTGCAAGAAATTATGGTGTACATTCTTATATAAAATGCAAAAATTGGTCAAAAAATTTATTTACGAACAAAATTTTGAAAATCTGTTTTTGCGTTAAAACAAAATGTATTTTTCTATCCCGATTGTAGATGGGTACCTTAACTACCCAGATGTACAAAACAGTCACTCTAATGGCTATACGACTAATTTTGGCCAAGTTACAACAGAAGGGCTCCTTAGGGTTTTGTTTTTTGACAAGTCTTCAAAAACCCAAAAAAAAAACACTTACAAAAAAAGTTTTTCTATCAAAACGCTGAGAAGTAATGGTCAAAAGATAGAATGTCATACATCGCTGAATTCGGCATTAATTTGCCAATGGAATGCCATTCACAGTTAAAAGTTTTTCAGTTTAGTAAAATTTTGCAAAAAATGATCATGTATCCCCTTGTATAAAATGTAAAAATTGGTAAAAATATTATTTTTTTTCAAAAAATCGGTTTTTGCATCAAAAGAAAATATATTTTTCTAACCCGATAGTGGTTGGGTAGAACAGGTCGCCAGCTATTCAAAACAGTCACTCTTATGGCTATACATAAGTCTAATTTTGGCCAAGTTACAATAAAAGGACTGTGCAGGATTTCTTAAAAAAAAAATTAGTTTTCCTATCAAAACACTGAGAAGTAATGGCTTAAAAATGAAATGTGATACGTTGGGGAATTCGTCATTAAATTGTCAACAAAATAGCATTCACAGTTAAAAATGTTTCAGTTTTTCAAATTTTCGCCCAAAAATAATGATAAAAAAAAATTTGTTCTAAAAATTAAATAAAAAATAATATTAATAAATTAGTTTTACAAAATCAAGCGTTAATGCATAGTTCAGGTGATTACCTACACAACACAGCCAGTAATTTTTTTGTGACCAACTAATTTATATGTTCAAAAAAAAAGGAAGGCATAAAATGGCATGTTATGATCTACAGGTAATTACATTTACATTTGTATTCTGCTATACAGCCGCTGCACCGTTTACAAGCTGCTTTTGCTGTCTTGTAAAAATGCCAGAAAATCGCTACAATGCCAACACTAAGAGCCAGAGCCACCCTCGCAAACTGTTCTCTCCCTTTCTCTCGCGCTCTCTTGCGAAAAGAGCAGCGCGGTAAAAAAGCAACCATTCTGGGGCAAAACCGACCCACTTGCCCTGCCCCCCTTTCTTTTGGTGAGAGCATCAAGTTGATGGCAGTTCTCCAACGAGCGCTGAACACAGCAGATTACCAAATTAGAGTGCAGGTGTGTGCGTGACTGACAGTGACGGAAACTGAAACTGAAACAGAAATTGAAACCTGTAGCAAATCCCCCCCTAAAAACTGATAAGAGATGCGAAAAAGATGAACACTACACCCGAGAAATCTAAATCCCACCCATAACAAAAACGGGCTCGAGAATAACAACTGTAAACAAGTTGGAGCTGCAGTAAATAAAAAACCAAAAAAATAATCCGAAGACTCAGATGCAACAACGTTAATGAAGTCGAGTAAAACTGGTTTGCTTGGATAAACATTTTAAAGTTTGTTTTGGTCCCGCTTTTGGAAGGTAGGAGAAGATGCGGGGGGCAAAACGATTCGGGCGACTTTGAGCCCGGGTACAAAGTTCAACTGAAAATAGCGCCAAGATAGTACGACGACTTGTTTTCGCGAAACGCACAAATTTTGCATGCTACGCACAGACAAGTACGCAAGTTTAGCACATATGTATCATAAATCTGTCCATAATATTATTACTTAGGCGTCAGTGTAATTAAGAAAACACCGATCTATGTTTTCTATTTAAAAGAGAGAGTTTTTTTATTAAGTAGCATGGACTCCATTTACTTCTTAAAGATCAAATTTGTTTATTAAATGTTTATACATATTTATTCTACTGTTTTGTGGACTGGTCTTTGATGCAATGCTATACAATCTTACAAGTTTTACAATATATCTGTTAAGGTATTATTGTTTGCAATATATATAATTTAGTTAAATATGCAAAACTATAACTCCAAGCTTGACAGATAACCGTCTGTTGCCAATTACTGCAATTAACGCAATTAACAATCTAATTAATTAACTCATTGTTACATCGTTGGTGCTATTATTGTGAACTCAATTGTGTACGTGGGAGAGGCAGAGCGAGTGAGAGAATTAAAGTGCATTCTAAATGTTGTTTGATTTGTTATGCGAATAAAATAAGCACATAATATGTGAATGTACATAAGATAAGTTTGAATTGGGTCCAACTGTTGAATAACAAGTATAATACATTTATAATGCCTATTTACTATGCTATACTATATAAAACTGGATATCGAGCCCACTATAGCTCTCTCTCTATCTCTGTTTTCTCTCAATGCAATAACTTGATCGATGCAACGGAGTGAGCGTGAGCGGGGGAGGGGGAAAGAGAGCAGAATGCAAATTAAGAACTAAATGTGCGAGAGAAAGAGAGAAGGGAAAGGGCCTTTTTTTTGTTGGCCTTGAGCTTTGCTTACGTTGCTATATAATTGTTGTTGTTTCTTTGCGGGGATTTGTTTTTGTTGCTCGTGTTGAATATTTTGTGTTGATTTTGTTGCTGTCCCACACAGTGTCCATTTCAAATGCAGAATTTCCCCCAGCTGGTGAAACACTTGTGGCCGAGAGTGTTGAGTTTCCGATTCAAACTCTTGGAAAAGGTGAATGCACTCGGTGATGGGCGAAGGAAGGTCCACTTCCAGTTTTAGTTCCAGTTCCATGAGGAAAGTCCATCCATTCAAGTTGAAAAACTTTTGAAAACCAACTGTTTCCTTGTCACAAACTTTATTTGAAACAACATTTTAGCAAGTTTACCCTTAAAAACATCAAAAACAATAAATTTATTATGAGAAATGCAAAAAAAAAGATGTTGAATCTTGATTAAAAGTAACAGAAGTTGTTTAAATGTTTCAAACTTATCAGATAAACAGTTTTCTTATAAAAAGATTTCATTTAAACGAAATGACTACATTTGTAAAAATAATAAAATGATATGTAACCTTCATACGAATATACTTAACTTAGATATTGTGAAAAAAGCCCCCACTATTATCTAAGCCCATTAATCAAAATAATAATATTATAAAGCAAATTGAAATTGTTACGCATTTTTAACAAAAGTCATGTTTAATGAGACAAAATTTTGGTGTCATAAATTGTACATGGGTATATTTTCAATAGGTTTTTCCAATATTGTTAGAAATAAAATTTGATTCGTTACAGTTGCACTCACAACACCTGTATTCCAACGGGATTAGCAAGTCTTGAGTCAGTGATCAAGGTTCACAATACCAATTCCATGGGCTGTTTGCTATACCAAAATTCGGGTGATAAGCGCGAGAAAGGGCTGCAAGTCATGCGTAGACATCAAGAAGCCACTGCACCACGATAACGATAAGCAAGGAGTGGGAAAGGGGGTTTCCAGCGAGGGAATGCAGGTCTAGTACTTTGCAGCCACTGTTCACGGGAATTACTAAGAGTGGTGCACTGTAAACAACCCCAAACTGCTTTAAGGGGCCACCTCTTCAACTCAAAATATTTCAAGTGTCAATAATGCTTAACTTCTAAAGGTGAAATTACACGGTCGTGTCTCAAACCATTCGAAAACAACAACGTGACAACTTAAAGGGCTTCTTTTTTATAACTAGTATATTGAATGACTAAGACAATGGTTATAGGCACATACTCAGATGGGTCAACGCATTGTTTTCATTATGTTCTTTTTCTAATAAAAGAAATAATATATGTAGATATGTAAGATTTTTTTTAAATAGCTGTGGTAAATTTTTTTAATTTACGATTACTAATGATTTTTACGTCATCAAAATCCCACTTCTTAGCTCTTCTTAAATGTATGTTGGAAACACATTACTTTGAGTGCGCTCTTCTCCCAGCAAATTTAGATCGATTTTAAGTAGCATTACATACTGACAGATCGTTTCACTTTACAATTTACAGTTGCAGCCACTGTTTGTGAGAGGGAGAGCAGAAGATTGGGAGAGTGTATTCCAATAACAACAACAACAATAGAGCATGAAGAGGAGCATAAACACTTAAATAAATATTAAAGGAATCGAACATCAATTTCGTATGTTTTTGTATGAAAAATGTGAAATAGCCTTTTGATGAATTTACTAATATCAAATATATTGGGTGTTGTTATTAATTAAATTTAAAGATATAATCATTTGCGTTTATACATAGTATTTGATCCTTTGTTTCGGAAGCAGGTTATTAAAATCAAGTACAAAATTAGTGTTAATTCTCTGAATATGAATGCTAGTAAACATCATTAAAATTATATTGGTCAAGTTATGTTCTCATAAAATCATAATTAATAATTTTCTAATAACACCTTAAGATAGAAATTAGTTCAAAGTTATTTAGTTTAAATCGGATGTGTAGAACATGGTATCACACTTAATCCGACGTCTGGTAATCACAAATCATATGGAACCATTATTTCAGTGTACCTACGACAGAGAAAGCAATATCGCGCGCCGCCAACGCGATCGTGCGTCGCGGTATTTGTTTTTGTTGGTGTTGGTGAGTAGCGGCAGCGTCGGCGGCGGCATTACTTTTCTCAGCGCCGCACGGCGTCGCCAGTCGTGTCTCAGCACCCGACAGCAGCAGACGTGTGTGGCAGCAGCAGTGAGAGCCTTAAACCGGATCAGGACTCATACTCATACCCATACCCAGTGCCACAGCTACAGCCACAGCCACCCCCACGTCTACACTCTCTTCTACACTGAATAAAAGAGGCAACAAGTAAACGAGGCACCATGAATCCAGCCGCTCAGTTGCTGCGCCTGCGCAGCGCCACCGCTTTTGGCAGTGCGGTCTCCCAATCGGCGCGCTCCATCTCGACCAACCGGCGTCAGCGGACCACCAGTACCGCCAGTGCGCAGCGGGAGCGGACCCAGGGCGTCAGCGAGACGGACAAGTTTCTGCACTACAGCGCCGAGGACGGCTACTACAAGACCTCGCCCTTTGACCCCGTCATCGTGCCCAACGTGCCGCTCCACGAGTACGTGTGGCGCGACTTCAAGAAGTGGGAGCGTAACACCGCAACGGTAAGTGCCGCAATAGCGATCAGTGATCCCCTAAATAGACCTTAATCTTTTCCCAAAAGATCAGTCTAAATCTAGAAAGTTAAATCTAGAAATCACACTGGCTTTATTATCTTTTAAGTAGCAAGGAACTTCTTATAACTTCGGGATCTATTAAGATTTCAAGGGTTCTTAACGCTAGATCTTAAGCTATGTTGTCATATACCAAGTTGTATGTTGGTATATTCTTTTAAATATAATAAGAAGGTGCCTTTAGATCCTTTTTTTTATCAACTTAAACATGATCTTATCGTTATAAACATAATACTACTGAACGGTTTTTTTTCTCACAACAGTATTACCAGTGATTTAAGTTCTCTAATTTAAAGGAATAATAATCTTTCCTAAAAAGTATTATCTTTGACATTCAATTGAATGCTGTTTGTTTGACTGCTCTAATAACTTACGAATTCCTGGAGTGCCTTCTTCTCTGCAATTAAAAACCAATTAAATATCTATGAATGCAAAGCGAAAATCTAATGATTATCCCCAATTTCCAAAGATTTACTACAACCCATTGAAAGTCGCCCGGAGTATCGGTCATTAAAACCAAATTTACTATTTGATCGAGCCCAACATAAACTTTGCACGTGAACGTAAGCCATAGCCCATTTAAAGCCCCGTAAACCCAATCACTCGCATCATAAATTCACACAATCGAAATCGATGCAATCGTTGTCGTAGGCGCCGCTCAGAAATTCTTTGTTTGTGCTTATGGCGGTTTATTGAACCTGAACCTATGTCTATATATAAAGTGATATTTATACGGGCGGCTGGCATTCGCCGGTTTGATTTGCGTCTGCTACAAAATTTCGCACTGTGTTGGTGTCGTGTTATGGTTGTGTATCCTCCATATCGCAACCATCCCTCCGTGCAATCGCCCCCCGCGATTCCGTATTTATCGCTAGTAGAACAGAACCCCTATCAGTCCGATAGAGAGAGGTCTAGGCGTAGTCTGAGGCAGTGCCGAGTATTTGGGTCATTTAGGCCCCTAGACATCGCTAATGACGGGCTGTGTGTTGATAAGAGACCTGTGTGTGTGCTCTTGATAAGAGCGAAAGTGAAATGTAGTAGGCACCAGCTCATTCCAAAGGAGGGCCAAAGTTCCGGATCGGAATACCATTTGCAATCGGATTTTAAGTCCGATTGCGATTCCCGTTCCGGTTTTTCCATCCACGGCAATCAAGTGTGAATAAATCAAGTGGGTAAGGCAAATTGCCGGGGCATTCGAGATAAGGAAATCTCACGATTAAATGAATCGCGTCGAGCACACTCTGTCAACTGGGCAATGTAATATCACCCCCACTTGCATAACCACACCATACATACATACATATATGTTTGTATATTATTCCGCAGGCGACCTTCGCCAATTGTTTACACTTTTCACTTTTCGTCGCCTATAAACATACAATGTTTCTGCCTCTGTGTGTGTTTGTGCAAATCGAAGTGCAAACAGTTTTCATTGAAATTTATTGCCATCATTTGTGCAATGTCTGATATAACCGAGTAGTAATCGCCCACATGGCCCGGCAATAGGCGTAACCAGAGCCCCCCCGGCAATTGTTGAATTGAATGCAATTAAAAGCCTCGAGCCTCAAGTCTCACATGCCGGTGCAAAGTTCGCCTTTTGTTTCCATTCACTGCCACGCCCCCTTGTGGTTGGTGGAAATAGGAGACCCTTTGATAGGGTTCTGTAAACATTGCTGAAAAAAGAACGCCTTTTCCTAAGGGTTTCTGGTATACGATAAGATAAGGATTTGTTCATGTCATCATTATATTTCACATTTTTCGTAAATCTGATCTACTTTTGCTCAACTGTTAGAAGCACTTTAAGTCTGTGCAAATATATATGTACATATTATATTAATTTGGTTTTGCAATCAAAATTTATTTGTTATTTGGCTCAGTTATCTATGTGCATTTATGTTAGTGCAATGTTTTTATTTTTATTTGAGTGAACAAAACTCTTGAGGATTTCGCAAAAATATTTTATGGTTCATATATTAATGAATTTAAGTGTCTTGTAAACAGTTTGTGTTCAATTCCTTGAACTTAGATTCGACTGTTTGTGCAGCTGAGGAATGCACTTATATCGATGACTCATAGGTGCAATCAGTCAGTTTTAATCAATTGACTTTTTGTGCGAGGTTCACTCAAGTGTTTGTTGCACCCAAATGAACCCCAATTCCTTGATATGCCCATATAATGCTTTTTTAATTGCCCCGAAATTATCTACATTTGCTTTTCGTTGGTTATTCGTGTTTATTTTTTTTTATTTATATTTTTGGTTGATAATTTTGATGGTTTTGTTTTGATTTTTGTTGCTTTATTTCGCTGGTCGACGTCAGCAAATGGTCGAGGTCCAGCCTCCTCCGTTATTTTTGGTACGATCTATGCTCTCTGCGCTCTAAATTGGCATTCTGTGTTGATCAGTTAACCATTTAAAAGTCATTTTACAACGTCGACAATTTCAGCATTGCCTTGGCTTTTTTAAGTTTTTATTATACGGGCTTTATTTCCCTGGATACTTAACTCATTTTTAATCAGTGTATAAACAGCTTTTTTTTATCTCTTTCTTTTTTATAATATTATCAACTTTAGATGCTGGTTTTGTATATTGTAGGAGTCACAGATTTTACAGCTTATTTTTAGCTATGGTGTCTAAAAAATAGTCTTAAAACCGCTAAAAGTTTTCATTCTTTATAGCATCTTGTATGAAGGTTTTTTTTTTCTCTTATATCAAGTAAGACCTACAATTTGACATACTTTTATCATATATTGAGTTTGTTTATATTCCAACAGCTAGGGACTTTAAGAGTTTTTAATAGTTTTGAAGAAGTTGTTTTTTTATAAAAAGTCAAATTTACAATTCGATATACTTTTAGCTATTTATTAGCTACTTTGTTTTGGAATCAAGTAGACATAGCTGACCGTTCTTCGCTGCTCAAAAGTCAACAAACGATGCAGAGTAGGTGACAAGAGAGAGATAGAGCGACACAGGCAAAAAGAGAAGGGGAGAGGGACTGGTTTAGGGGAAAGGGGGTCTGTGGGGTCTGTGGGGCCCGACTCGTTTAGACTTTGCAGACTTTGTACTTTGCCCCACTGAACTTTGGACTGTACAACCGACTGAAGCCAAGCGAAGCGGTTTTCGACGGACTGACAATGTGGGTGGGGTGGGGGGTTTTAGGGGGGATATGGCAAATGCACGAAATGATTCTCTTATTTTTTACACGCTCATTTATTCATTATGATGTGTGTATATGCCGCCTCCGTTTGTGTGTTGTTTTCTTCAATTTGAGCAACTTGTTGGCGGTGCTGCTAAATTTATAATGCTTATTTTTACCCGAATGCGATTTCCGACTGCGCAAATTATGGCTGACAATCCCCCAATCAACTGACTCAACTCCCCCCTCCGTTTTGCCCATCCATTAGAGCTGATTTTTGCCAATTTCGTTTTTCGCGACCTTCACCTTAGCCCTGTAAACCGGTTATGAGGTCAGCCTGCCGCGCAGTCAAGGCCAGCAAAAGGCTGGTATTGTAATTAAATATAATTCTAAATACTTTTTTCTTTACCAATTAAATCTTAAAATCTATTAAAATTAAATACATATAAATTTTATACCGACAATATTCAAGAGAATGCTAGATTCAAAGAACTTCAAAGTACACAAAACTACCGAACTGACCTTGGTTAATCACAAAGGCATTACATTAATTTGTAAAAGGTTCATAGTCGATTAAACATGCACGCGGGTGATAAAAACACACTATTTTATTTTCTTGTATGATAAGCTATCATTGTCATTTAAATTAATAAAGGAGCGATAAGCTTATCGCACATAGAACTTTTTTTGGACCTTCGGACAGGTCTTTTTTATGTATGTAATTAGGTAGTAAAAGATTTAAACCATATCAGCAGTAGTAGTGAGTAGGTGGAATTACTGGCATAACTGCTTCATTTCATTTCACCACAGTGCCAACAACACCTCTTCTACATTGTAGTTTCACGATTTTTCTTCCCATAAATATTTGACTGTGTCATAAAAGTTCCACTTGACAAACATGCTTCCGATAAGATTCGTGTGGCCATTATTTTCCCAGATTTTTGTTGACTTTGATTTGGGGTTATCTTCAGACTTTGCTCATTTACATTTCGTTTTATCACTGCAGGAAGGAATGGAAAAGTTATTGAAGTGGGTTCGAACCTAAAACATGGATTTTTTCAACATTATCCTCTTTGACATATCACCATTTATTTATTTACATCATTTTCTCTTTTTAGGTGTGTGTGATCACCGATCGGCAATATACTTTCGCCCAAATGCGTGATGCCAGTGCCGCTTTTGCCGTACGTCTGCAGACCAAGTTCAAGCTCCACAAGCCCGATGTTTTGGCCATCTGTCTGCCCAATATCCCCGAATTCCCCATCGCCACATTGGGCGCCATTGAAGCCGGTTTGACAGTGACCACCGTGAATCCCGTCTATACGCCGGGTAAGTCAAGTCCCCAAGGGGCCCTGTTCCCGGTGATAATATACACTTTGTACAGCGGTGTTCCCGAACAAGAAAAGAGTGTCAAAAGATTAATAAAAACAGATTTTGCATAATAAGACAAATCTAAGGGGCATTCCATTTTTGAAAAGAATAGCAACAAAAGATTGAATATAACAGCTTTGCGTGTTCTGCTTGAAATATGACACATTTTGAACAAAAATTAACCAAACATTGTTAAAAAGAAACAAATGCTGACAGCGTAATATAACTATAACTAAAACAAAAGTAGTTACAAAACGAAAATTTAGCTCTTTAAATTTTCAATAAAATTAACTATTGCTTAACAACTATTACAGTGCCCAGAATATATAACTTGGGGAAATTCCAAATTAAAGCTGTGAACAATTGCCTCCTAAAAGCATTCCATTTACAATTACAAATGACACCTTTAAACATGTGCAATTTAAATTGGATTACCCAACCCCCATAAACAAATTTGTAGTAGAAGATCTATATATTATAAATTCTAGGCACCGTAAACTCATTTAGTTTTAGGCAAATAAAAGTTTAAATGTATAGGAATATGAGGCAGCTAATTAGGTAAATCATTAGCTATTTGCGTGACCACCGCTGTATTGTGTTTATTGGGGGCTCTTGAGTGCGTCAAAGGCTCGTTATCTGGGGTCTTTATGTGGCGACATCTGTGCTTAGCGATTCCAAAGTCGAAAGATCGTGACTGATCGTCTCACGTTTCGCTTGCAGACGAGATCGCCAGGCAGCTGACCTTCAGCGGGGCCAAGTTCCTGGTGGGCACCGTCTCGGGATTCGCCACCTTGAGCCAGGCCTGTAAGTTGCTGGGCAAGCAGCTGCCGATTGCCGTGATACGGACCAGTGCGGGGGAGTCCCTGCCGGAGGGTGCCATCGATTTCAGCGAGCTGACGAGCACCCAGAATGTGCGCTACGAGGATTTGGTGTCGCCGAAGGACGCCAGCGCCGACGACATGGTCTTCCTGCCCTTCTCCTCCGGAACGACGGGTCTGCCCAAGGGCGTGATGCTCTCGCACAACAACATCACCAGCAACTGTGAGCAGGTGCAGGCATCGCTGCCATTGAACCTCATGGGTCGTCAGGATACGCTGCCCAGCGTCCTGCCCTTCTTCCACATCTACGGACTGACCGTGGTGATGCTATCCAAGCTGGGACAGGGCTGCCGACTGGCCACCATGCCTTGCTTCAAGCCGGACGACTTCATGAGGTCCCTGGACAAGTACGAGGGCAGCGTCCTCAACCTGGTGCCGCCTATTGGTGAGTAGAACCTTAGTGGCCAAGGCTCTCTTGCCCATTCGTCCATAAAGTGTAGTACTTCATAAGAATTAAAAATCAGAATTCAGTTCTTTTTGAAAACGAGCAGGTTATAAAATACCAAGAACTTGCTTCTGATGTCAATACTTCATCCATAAGGTATACGTCCTAAAATATATTTTAGTTTTTTTGATAGTAATAAATGTAAAGATATTTTTTCTAAATGCAATACTTCAAAAGCATCCGTTAACAGAGTTACAAAATATTACGATTTTCGAAAAAAAATAAAAAATCATAAATTATTTGAAAATAAATAATTTAAAGCTAAGGAGTGTGCCACTTTGTCATGTAATTAAATAACTTCAAGCGCAAGAATCCGTTCGCCTGAGGTTCAGAAATAATTTAAATTACAATTTTAAATTTTTTTAAATTGAGAAATTTAAGAGGATAGATTTGAAAGTATATGTATACAGCGTAACGCAATATTTTCCATTCTTATTGGTTTTTTTTTCAACAACAAAACCCGTAGAATTATATTGCCACCAGTCAGTTTTGATTTTTAGACAATGTTAAAAATGCTTTATCGGTAAATATACTATCGGCGATAGCTGTTAACATTTCTGATAAATACAAAAAGTTAAACACATAATGATAAGAAAAATGTAAATTAATTTTTTTTTGACTGTTTTTATTGGCACTTGCGGTCATTTTGTTTTGTATAGATGAAATAAAAAAAAGCTATTTTAGAAGTGGCTTATAAAACAGTATGTTGTCGGATCAACAAATTGAAGGTGTGGGTAACCTACAACTCAACTGGTTTTATTCAACATGACAAAGTTGTTAAAAATACACCTGTTTAAACTGGAATGTAAAAAAATATAATTGGTTTTTTTATTCTATTTGTGGAATGCAAGAGTCGAAGGTATTTTTTCCATCTTATGACAAAAATAGTCTTTCCGTTAAGAAGTTATCTGTCTTTTAGGGCTATATAATCATAAATGCTTAAAATTAAAATTTTATTTTTATAATTTCTTAAACGTTTTACCACTTTTTAATCAATACCCCTTCAATTTTAGCCCTCTTCATGATTAACCACCCCAAGATGACCCAGGAGACGGCACCCCATTTGAGGGTGGTGATGAGCGGAGCCGCTCCAATTGGTCAGCACGATGTGGAGCGCTTTCTGCACAAGTGAGTTAACAATGGATCACTTTGGGACAACTCCTGGCATATGACATGTTTCTGTTTTATCGAAAGATTCCCGAAGGCCGCCTTCAAGCAGGGTTACGGTATGACCGAGTCCTCGCCCGTGGCTCTCCTGACGCAGGATGGGAACAAGAATTACGCCTCCACCGGAGTGCTGCCGGGCAGCACGGAGGCCAAGATTGTGCCCCTGGAAGGAAACGAAGCCAAGGGCGTGGGTCCACGCACCACCGGCGAACTGTGCATTCGTGGTCCGCAGGTGATGGCTGGTTACCTGAACAACGAGGAGGCCAACCAGGTCACCTTCTATCCGGGCAACTGGCTGCGCAGCGGCGATGTGGCCTACTACGATGAGGACGGACTCTTCTACATTACGGACCGCATGAAGGAGCTGATCAAGGTGAAGGGCTTCCAGGTGCCGCCGGCCGAACTGGAGGCAGTGCTGCGCGACCATCCCAAGATCCTGGAGGCGGCCGTCTTCGGTATTCCCCACGAACTCAACGGCGAGGCACCGCGCGCTATTGTGGTCCTGCGTGAGGGCGAGAAGGCCAGCGCCGAGGAAATCTCCGCCTATGTGGCCGAACGGGTTGCCCACTACAAGAAGCTCGAGGGCGGAGTGATCTTCGTGGACGAGGTGCCCAAGAATCCCACCGGCAAGATCCTGCGCCGCGAGCTCAAGGAAAAGTTCTCCGACTAAGTGCGCAGGGAAAGGATCTTCCGTACGTTAAGATATATTTTTTGTGATTTTTTTTTGTTCGTCTCAATCCAGGGTTGGCAACCAGATTCCTAGAAATCTTGAAGATATCTGTTCCAAGGTCTCTAGTTATTTGTGGCGACACCCCGCAGAACATGAATGTTTATGATGAACATCAATGTTGGCCCTGGATCCGCTGATCCCCAGGCGCTGGTTTAGACATTGCATTTACCACTTCGAAAATATTTAGTTCTTAGGCTAGACATAGGTCTCAATTAGTCGCTCGATTGGTCCATAGTTGGTAAGTGTAGACTAGACAGACGACAGAACCCTATCCATAAACCTATACGTATCTGTAAAGTGTAATCTGTATGCTTGTACTGTAACCTTTGATTATACTTAATGACGGACCCGATATTTCACTATGATATTCCCCTATTTACATATATATATTTTTTTTTGCCTAGTGCTGTAAGATAATTGTTTGTTAATCGTATTGAAAGACGGCGGCATGCCATAAATACCCCTATACATGCTATGTATGCCACGATGTTTTAAAATAAAGACGAAATGAACTAGTTTGAAGCGTTGCAGTTTTTATGGAATCTTTTTAAGAAAAATATGGATCGATCTCTGATGACTAAAAACTAGGCTTTTATAAAACTGATTTGGTAAAATATTTGTAGGTAAAATTTTGTTTTATGCCAAAAGTTTGAACAAATCAAATCATGTTTCGGTTTTTTATTATCAAAACCCGTTATAAGATATGTAAAAATGTATCATAAAATAAATTTTTCAAAATCTATCGAATATGAAAAGAAATGGTCTAGCCAGCCACTGTGCCAGCTACACAAATTATTCACTCTTAAGTTATAACAAGAGGACTCTGTAGGATCTATTTTTTTACAAATCTCCAAAAACCCAAAAAAATCATCTAAATCATCATCATTGAGAAGCAATGGTCAAATGATGGAATGTTATATATCGGTGAATTCGTCACTAAATTGCCAATCGAATGGCATTCACAGTTTAAAACTTTTTAGCTTTTGAAATTTTGCAAAAAAAAATGATGTACCCCCCTTATCAAAATAAAAAAATTGGTCAAAAATTTAATTACAAATTTTTTTTTTTAATCGGTTTATGCGTTAAAACAAAATTTATTTTTCTATCCTGACTGTGGATGGGTAGCTATTCAAAACAGTCCCTTTAATGGCTCTAGGATTCATGATTTTGTTTTTGGAAAAGTCTCCAAAAACCAAAATAAAACTCATAAAAATCAGTTTTTCTATCAAAACGGTGAGAAGAAATGGTCAAAAGATGGAATGTCACACATCGGTGAGTTTCTTCATTAAATTGCCAATCAAATGGCATGCACAGGTTAAAATTTTTCACTATTTCAATTATTTTCAAAAAATCAAAACAATTGGTCAAAAATTAATCTTAAAAAAATCGATTTTTAAAAATTTTGCATCAAAACATGATTTATTTTTTATAAACCGATTGTTGTCTACCTATCTACTTTCTATTAATGAGAACCCTATTTTGGCGAATTTCAAGAAAAAAAACTCGAAAGAAATGTGTTTTTTGTGGAACCTTCAAAAGCAGAAAAACGATTAAGAGATTTAATGGAATTCACTGCTTAAAATGTTTAATTTTTGCAGAGAAGCCCTTTGTAAAAAAATGAAAAAATGGTCATACATTTTTATTTCTGATAAATCCATATAGTTCGGGTCACCGGTTGCACAAAAACGTCTCTCATTTAACAATGCGTCTTCTGTTGACCAAGCTAAAAAAAAAAGCAAAAATGTATTTTTCAATTTATTTATTTACGACAAAATACACAAAATTTTACATTTTATTTATTTAGGTTTAGCTTTTAGTTAGTTTTTCCGTTGGTTGTGGTTCATGTTCTGTTTATCTTTCACACTGCGCTACATTTAAAATTACTTGCACTTAATATACAATAGAAAAAAAATATATATGTGGGTGTGAGTGTGTGTGTCTAATGGGTGTGGGTGTGATTTGGAGTAGTGTTTACAAAAATTAGGGGTAATTACTCTAGCAAAATAAAAGGACTGAAATATTTTCTTAACTATGAAAATTCCAGTTAGATGTAAGTAAATAACAAAAATGTTTGTTTTTTATTTTGTTGCTTTTGCTATAAATTAAACAGTGTAAGATTAAAGTACAAAACTTGTAAATGCATATTCGTAGGTAAATATGTGTTATTATATAAAAAATAAACATGAAAAAATATATATTAAGCGAGACAGACATACTTATATGAATGTTTTTTTGTATAGGATGTCACTGAATTATAACAAACAAATGTATATTCATTTCTCTTTGTGCACTAAAGTAAATACAAAAATCCAAACGCATGTTTGTGTGTTGGTTAGTGTGTGTATGTGAGTTTTGGAAGAGCGCCAACTGCAGAGGAAACTGTGTTGTAAAGTTATATATGTGGTATTTATCAAATGCCATTTCAATCGATCGAGTAAAATATTATGTTTGATTTGGTATTTCTAGCAATTTATCAGACATTATTAAGAGTCAACAAAAATTGAAACGTTATTTAATGAAAATAAAAATTGAAGCATCTAACGAAAACATATCTGTCAATTTGTAACCCTATATGGCACGTTCCGGGAAAAACAGAACTACTAACAAAATTCAGATAAAGCATATAAGAGTTAACTCAAATGCGGGAAAGTTTAGGTTATAATAAAATTCTAAATGAATTGTCAAAAATGTCTGAAAGTAGCAATTAACATATAACATTATAGAGGACAGAAAACAAATATCTTTACTTAAAAATATTTCCAAACGGGACGTCTAATAATTGATCTTATATCTTCATTGATTTAAATTAGAATTAATAATATTGCACATCTTATAAGCTCTGATAAAGATTTTCTTGATATTAAAGACTTGAGATTGGCCCTTGAATTTTATGATCGATCGGCAGCATATTAAGTACTCTTTCTCTCTCTTTCCATTTCCCTAGCTTATAGATTTGGCCTTAGTCGATAGGCAGTAGTTGTAGTTTGGACAGATGAAAATTCCTTTAGCAAATCGAATTTGTATGAGAAAGAAAGAGAAAGACTACCCGGACAACACTGTAAATTGATATACAGCTTTACAACACTGTTTGTCATGAAATTTTATGTTGTTTCTTAGAAGAACTCTTTGTGTATAGCAAGTCTGCAAGTATATAGTATATATAGTTTAATAAATAAATAGCTAACACTCTGCTTAAATGGTTTTCGCTTTAAAGTTATACAAATTTCACGTTGATTTTTGTTATCGTTATCGGTTTTTCGTTTTTGAGAGAAAAGGCCACAAAATGTTGCGTACGAAATGCATAACTTTAGCTGAGATTAACGTTGGTTTTTTTTTTGCTTTTTGATTGTTACGCGGGCAAACATCACACACACACACACTGGCACACCACACAGACGAGACAAGTGTATGTGTGTATTGTATGTGTGCATATACATATACAAATATATATATATATATATATAAATATAATATCGGAGTACATTTTGCTACGTTCGATTGCATTTTGAAACTCAAGCTGTGAGCTTCTCGTTCAGTTTGCTGCTGTCTCGCTCTAACAAATGCCCGCTCCCTCTCTAGCACACTATCGCCGTCCTTTTCTTTCGCTCTTCTGCCGTCTCTTTCTCATTTTTTCGTTCCATCCCCATCGGTTTGTTTTTGATCGGTTACAATTCCTTTGCGCTGCGTTACGTTGTCATTGCCATTTGCTGGATCTCCCACTCCATTAGGTTTCACGCCTTGGCCCCGGGAATCTTGGAAAGAACCTTGGATAGATCCACTCCAGTCAGGGCGTTGATCGAGGGCGGTAGCTGGGCCACCAAGCGGGTCACGTCGTTGGTAATATTATCGTTGCCGCCGATCAGGACAATCTCCTCTGTCTTGGCCAGCGGTGCAGCCACCTCGGCGGCAATCTGGGTGGGATTTCAATACGTTATTAGTGCAGTTCCAAAGGAATATAATCTATGATTAAAAACCAACCTTCGGCAGCGATTCGAGCACAATGTTCATGATGGCAGCGTCGCCGTACTGCTTATACACATGGGCCTTCATCCGCATGCGCTCTGCCTCCGCCTTGCCCACCAACTCGATGGCATGGGCCTCCGCAGATCCAATCTTCCGGATACGCTCCGCCTCGGCACGAGCACTCTCGATGGTCTGGCATCTAAAATAGTGGAAAATGGGTTTTTAGAATGGCTTTTAAAAACAATTTTGTTCCTTTTTTACCAAGGGAATTGCGCATATCTTAAAAAATAAACATTTAACAACCATTAAAAGTGCTAAGTAATAAATTAATGGATTGAATTAATTTAAATTTACCTCACACAGCCTGAGATTAAATAAGGACTTAAACAATTTTAAATACCACAAACATTTCTCTACAACACAATTATTAGCCTTTGAGCTATGGCTATATATTACTTTTTATTTAATGATGACTGCAATCATTCGTGCTGAAATTCAGTTTATCAGCAATAGATAATGGTTAACTACTCGGTACTAAAATGACAAAGCTGCATCGTTGGAATTATAGTTCCCATAACAACTATTGTTGGTCATAAATAAAATTCGACTCTATGTACAAACTCTTACCACAAAATATATATATAAATATATATAATGATTATTTGAAATTCTTGGTCGATTCAGTTCTGATTTTGTTGTAGATTCTGGGTAATTGCTTGTTGATAAGAATTGTACTAGTGGTTATTTAGTAAGTCACTATAATGAATTCTTAATGGAAATAATGATAAAAGAAATCAAACCAAAGACCTAATCAGTTTCAGTTAGGCGATAAAATTGATTTACCGCTTAGATGGTTATGTTTAACCTCCAATTAATTGATGATATTCTATGTGTTAATATTAATAATATAAACGTATATAAAATTAAAGTCGTAGTTACGGTTGGTGTTAGTATTTATGGTTCCTGAAGAATTCGCGATGTAAATGTTAATAATAATAACATAAATCAATTTAAAGTAATAATGTCAATTTCTGGTACGCTATAGTTTTTTACTTGTGGTTGGGTTATGTGCCTAAGCTTCAAATAAATATTGCTAAAGAATTCGCGTTGTAGCTTATGTTTATGATACTCACTGCTTGGCCTGGGCGAGGGTCTGGAGGCGGAAGGCCTCCGCCTCGGCGGGCAGCTTGACGGTGCCGGTGAGCTCGCGATCCTTGCGCTGCACCTCCTGCGACTCGATCTCGATCTGCTTGCGCCGCTCCACCACCTCGATCTGGATCTCCTCGTTACGAATGCGCTGCCGGATCTTGGCCGCCTGCAGTTCGTAGGCCAGCTGCGACTCGGCCTTGGCCGTGTTGATCTCCTGATCGAAGTTGGCCTTCTGCAGCTTGTACATCCTAGTGTTGTCCTCGATCTTCGTGTCCGTCGAGTACTTCACGTCCATGGCGCTCTTCTCGCACTCTGCCTCACGGATGCCGGCATCTCGGTTGGCCTCCGCCACTCCGGCATCGGCATCGCGCTTGACCACCGCCGTCTGGGCCTTGCCCAGCGAGGCCAGGTACTGCACATCGTCGTAGACATCCTTGATGGTGAACGACAGAATCTCGATGCCCATGCGACCCACGTCAGGAGCGGCCACCTCGCGGACCAAGGCCGCGAACTGGTCGCGGTCCTTGTACACCTCTTCGACTGTAAGCGTTCCTGCAAGGTCACAAGCAAAAGAATCCAATATTAAATGGGTGTCTTTATGGGGGCAGCTAACTATTTATGGCCATTACACAAAGAAAACAAATGACAATTCTTAGGTCGATTCTAAAAATGGCATTTTGTTTTGTTCTGTATAGAAGTCCAAACATTTTTATTTTTCATAGGTAAATACTGAATTCTTGGATCATGTTCATAAATTGGCTAAATTATACCCTCAAACAAATGTTAAATAATATATGGAATAGATATAAATATTATTTTTATGTCAGTCGGATTTAACATTCTGCTTTTTCTTAAATATTTTATTATTCATTTTGTAAAAAAACGATTGGGAAAATTAAATAATGCAATAATATAAAATATGACAAACAAATAGGTATTTAATATCAAAGTTTATTTTAATTAAAGGTGTTTAATCATTAAAAAAATATATATATTTTGTTTGTTTTGTTTGAAAACAATACGTTACAAATTTGTTTTGACTTACATCCAAGAAATTTAAAACAAATACGTATAGTCTTTTTCAGACATGCAATTATTCAACTTTATATGCAATATACAAATCACGTTTCCAAGTCGGAAAAAAATTGCAATTGCCTTGGAATGGCGAATATCGAGCACGTACTTAACTGGAAGGACAAATTGCTAATTTTTAACTTTGGGAATGATTTGACCTATGTTGGTAAATAAATAATAAATGTTATTTAAGTATTGTTAAGTGAACGCCTTTATCTATGTTGATAAATAAATACCCCGTTTGGCATGCCACAGATAACAGCCGCGTTGACTATGATAAATAAAGCGACTAAATGACCACTATTCGGGGTGATATTTTCCTTTGGTTGGTGGTTGTTCTTTCCACCCTTAATCGATGACCTTACCGCCTGACCACCAGCGAGGTAACGCCCACTATCAGGGCCACCTTGAAGACGCCCATCCACACGGCGGACATGTCGTCGACCAACTGTTTCGTTGGCCACAAAACGGGGCTCTACTTATTGGATTGCTATCTGCTCTGCGTCCACTATCCAACCATTTAACTTTGCGGGCTTTTAATTAAATCATGTTCGGGTTCTCTATTATTTTTGACGTCATTTGACGCAGTCTTATCGCTGGCGTTGATAAGACCATCCACACTATGCCACAGTGACGTCACTTTAACAACAACAGCAAAAAAAAGGGGTTCGAGCGGGTTAAAATCGGATCGTGGTGGTAGATCTGAGATCACAGCTGATTTCCTTGAAGAGCGAAGGTCTCCATGGCCCCCACAATTATTAATATTATTAATTTTCGACCCCCCCTGCCACGATTATTCACACGCGATTGAAAAAGCGACAACCAGAGCGTCTCACGATGCGCTTACAACTGACAGCTCAAATTGTCCGTAGACTCGGACTCGGATTCGGAATCGGAATTGTTATAGGTATAAGTATGGGTGTGGGAATCGGTACTGGCACTGGAATCGGGTACCACCGGCTCGCAAAATGAAATTGTAATCGCGCCGACAATTGGAAACCGCCTTGAGGTCTCGAGCGTCTCGTAAACACACTGTAGACTAAACTATAGTAAACTATGGTATTGTACATATAACGACTCGGGTTCGATGGGCTCATAAACCCTCGACTCGAGTTATGTTTAATTAAAAGCTGTAGATTGGCCATCAAGGTCGTGGACAGGTCTTAGCAAACAGAATGGTTTGAATTGCGAACTCGTACAAAACCTTTTTCCTAACGTTTCCAACCAAATTGAATAATTATACCCTTGCAGAGGGTATTATAATTTCAGTCAGAAGTTTGCAACGCAGTGAAGGAGACGTTTCCGACCCTATAAAGTATATATATTCTTGATCAGCATCACTAGTAGAGTCGATCTAGCCATGTCCGTCTGTCCGTCCGTCTGTCCGTCTGTCCGTCCGTCTGTCCGTCTGTCAGTCTGTCCGTCTGTCCGTCTGTCCGTCCGTTTATATGCAAACTAGTCTCTCAGTTTTAAAGCTATCTGCATGAAACTTTCCCAAAAGTTGTCTTTCTATTGCAGGTAGTATATAAGTCGGAACGAGCCGGATCGGACGACTATAGCATATAGCTCCCATAGGAACAATCGGAAAAATAATTGAAAAAAAATTATAACTTTGCTGTTTTTTAATTTTTTGTTTAGTTCTTCGACATATAGCAATGGTTAAATAATTCAGAATTATGGTTTAAATTACATCAAAATCGGACGACTATAGCATATAGCTCCCATAGGAACAATCGGAAAAATAATTGAAAAAAAATTATAACTTTGCTGTTTTTAATTTTTTGTTTAGTTCTTCGACATATAGCAATGGTTAAATAATTCAGAATTATGGTTTTAATTTCATCAAAATCGGACGACTATAGCATATAGCTCCCATAGGAACAATCGGAAAAACAATTGAAAAAAATTATAACTTTGCTGTTTTTTAATTTTTTGTTTAGTTCTTCGACATATAGCAATGGTTAAATATTTCAGAATTATGGTTAAAATTTCATCAAAATCGGACGACTATATCATATAGCTCCCATACAAATAATAAAAATATATAATAGAACAATCAAATAATTAAGCTGCAAATCGTCATAGCTTCAATGTTTTTAAACATATACGCAAGTAAATCATAATTTTAATGTTTTCAAAAATATTTAATTCTTGCGATAGCTGCAAGGGTATATGAACTTCGGCTTGCCGAAGTTTGCTGTCTTTCTTGTTTTTATATTTGTATTGTGAGACTTAACTTGAAACAAATGCCATCGGGAAACAAATGTTTGCCGGAACATTTAGGCGCAAACAACTGAAACGTTTAAGGTTCCCTATTTCCCTGTTAATTATGAATTAAAATGTACACGTTTAGCATGACAGTTTGTTGCAATTGCCTTTGGAAAGCAAAAACTGGATACCTAGAAGACTAATGCAAGCCAATCGATAATATAGAAACACCATAATAATAATGTATTCATAGCACGTACACATTTAACACTTAATATTTTAAATTATAGACATAACTGAAAATTGATAGTGGTCGGTCAGGGAGAAATTCTTTGTCAAGTAGGCATTGCCGCTAACCTCGTCAAACTTGTCAATGTCCTGGTCGCCGAAAGTTCAGTATCATTTTCCACTCCGACCGTAACGCACACCTAAAAATAAATCGCCTAGCTCTCACTTCCGAAACAAGTTAAAGTATTTTTTCGTTTCGTTTCCAGTAACAAAATATTTTCAATTTTTAGCCCCACAAGTTGATATATCTCGAAGAGTATGATGTCGTTACGGCGTGCACATGGCGGCGGTCGTGATTTCCTGCAGGAGAACAAGCTAAATGTCTCCCGAATGGAGCCCAATGGCCGCGGTTTGGCGGCGGCCAATGCTCGTCGGGTGCCCCTGTGGCGTCCAGTGGTTCTTCACTATGCAGAGAAGCTGCGTCCCCATGTCCAGAATAGCCAGCAGCTGCGTGCACGCCAGACTCACTCCGCCGCCCATGAAGCTCCCAATTTGAGGAGTGGTCTGGCCCAGCCGTATGGCTTCAAGAGTGATCAACTTCGCAGGCAGCCACCAAATCCGTGTGGTTGTGACTTGGACAAGCGTCAGGCGAAGCAAAAGGAGCAGGAGCGCTTGCAGGGTGGCTGGGTGGACCAGCAAAAGGAGAAGGCGCCGAGAAGATGCTGCCAGGGTTGCCACTGTCACCAGAGCCATCAGGGTCACCAAGGACAGATGGTGGCTCCGCATCAGGGTCACCAGAACCATCAGGGTCACCAGAACCATCAGGGTCACCTAGGACAGGTAGTGGCTGACCATCAGGGTCACCAAGCTGAGACAGTGGGTCAACAAATCGGAGGTGAACCCGTAGTGAACCCAAAGCAGGGCGAAGGTGATCAGGCCGATCGCGTTTCTCTATGCTCCCGGGTGTCCCGAGTGTCGCATAGATCCCAGAGGACTCCTCCTGATCCTTCACAGGAGAACACCGATCCCGAGGCCCCTTTGAGTGCCCGCAGCAGGGCCTCTGCGAAGACCCTCAAGTCCAAGCGATCCGTTTCCCAGGAGAGTATTCGTTCAAATGCCACCATCAAGTCGAACATTACAGTGGCCTCGAGAGGCACCACGGTTTCGAAGAGATCTCAAGTTAGTCGTATGTCAAAGATAATGGAGGTAATGCCGCCACCAGCGCATTTGCAGGATCAAAAGGTCAGGGAAAATAAAATGGTAGAGACACAGGCACCGGAACCGGCACAGGCACACGCACAGGCACCTGAGGGCTATACCCCACTGACCAAAAATGAGCGGAATGCGGCACTCCAGGATGCCCACTTGAAGTATGGCAAACTCGTCGAGGAATATAACCATTTGCCCGTTTCGGAGCCAACTCTGCGCGTGCGCAACCGTAAAATGGCCATCGAACGACAGCTGGACGAACTGGACTACGCCATTAATATGTTCGATCAGCCCCATCTGGATATGTATTACAAAAAATGATGCTTGTAGGTGTTAATTACCATTTCGCAATTGAGTTATTTGCCAAACAAAACAAAAAAGAGCCCTTCTGAAAATGAGCCCAATATAAAAGACTGAACGGAACCCAATCAATCTGAAGAAATAACGTATAAAGAATCAAAATGCTGGTTTAAGAGAATCAATTTCAATCCCTTAAACAAAAAACGAAAACAAAAGGCAAATCTTATTCAAGAATTGATAAATACATCGAAGCACCCTAAAAGACATAAAAAAAACAAACTGAAGCTTAGCTAAACCAAAACATGTGTCAAACGTTAAAAAATTTAACAAGTTACATTTAAAGGCAATTCGAAACCAAAAAAAAAAAAAAGAATTATGAAAACCTGAAAACAGGATCATTTGAACATTTCACAAAACCCAAAAAAAAAATAAATTTTAAAAGCGGCAAAAGATTAATTAATACATTCGTGTTGTTTATTTAGTTGGCAGTACACAAAAGCTTTTCAATGTCCGCACCCAAAAGTATGCAACATATGGAATATTTATGAAATCAATTAAACAGAGCTGCAAACAAATCCTATACTTTTACGGATTTTGTTTTCCTTAATCTTTGCTGGTCTATTTCTTGTGATTTTGATTACTGTTAATTCCTTTAAAAAATGTAAAAATATTAGACATACAATCCATGATCAGACTAAATTTAGCCATAACTTGTGTGGGTGTGTAGTGACCAAGATCCATTTTAATAAGGCTTTTCAGAAAGACCAGACTTCAGCTTCTGGGATCATGAATTGACACAAATTTAAACCTGATATCGAATAGTTTTACTGGTGATTATTATGACCTTAACCTTAAGTAATTTTTCCTAAAATATTTATGCCAAGCCAATTTTGATAATTGAAGGTTACTTTCATAGGAGTTTATGCAATTTTTTCTTTCGGATTTGAATATCGCAACGGCTGGAACTCACCCAATATAGCCCTCAGATGTCCTTCGAGGGTCTGCAGGATCGTCTGCTTGATCTCCTTGACGCTCTTGCCCAGAAATTGCTCGCTGGCAGTGCCTAGAAGCTCGTCGGCCTGATGGTGGAAATAATAAACATTCATCATCTGTACGTGTGTGTGTGTGTAGGTGTGGGTGTGTTTGAGTTGTGAGTTTTTTTTTTTTTGGGTGTGGTTGTGTATATGTTTCCGTAAGTCAGTGTCGGTGTGCATGTGTGTGACGGCATTTTGTAGGTTCGATTGATTGTTTTTTTTTTTTTTTGTTTTATATATTTTTAAATTTTTAGTACGTATATTTTTGGTTTGTATGAGTTTTTTGTTTGTTTTTTTGTTTCGTTTTAATTATAGTTTACCCACACACACGCACATGCACACATAGACAGAGCGAGACAGAGATATATATAAATATATATATGTATTGTATATATAGAGATATAGAGCGATACATGGAGTATAACGGTATAACAGCAGCAACCAGAGCAGTATAACGGTAGCAGTAACGGTAGAGGAGCAGTATTTTTTGTGGTATTTTTTGGAGTATAACAAATTCGATTTTAATGATATTTGTTGGTTCAATGCGTGTGTGTTTGTTTTTTTTTTTTGGTAGGTTAATTATAGTTGATTTCGTTTACAGTTACAGTTATTTACGGATTAGTTTTTTTTTGATGAGTTGAACGTTGAACGATCGGTCGCAGGGTTTTTGGTCGATTTGGTGAAAAGAAAGTAGAGAAAAAAGAGAGTAGAACACAGAGATCAACAAGGTTTCGATTTTCGATAATTTCTTTGTATTATTTTGCAGACTGTACTTTTCTTTCTCCTTCTTCTTCCTCCTCAGCTTCTGATGATGATGATTGAATGAATTTGATAAACATAAAATGCATACGTAAAACAAATCCATGGGCTTAGAAGGCCCAGACAAAAGCACATGCAATTAATACTAAAAAAATGGATTATGATCCCTTTTCGGTAAATGTGTGTGTGGATGCGTGTGTGTGTGTGGGTAGGTGTTAAGGGTGCTTGAAAAAATATGAAAATAAATTTATATATAGTTTTTTAAAATTTCGTTAGAACGCCAAATAAGCAACAAGAATAGAACCCATGGATGTTTAATAAAATAAATGCAATAATAAACATACCTCGTCGTTATTATAATCGTTATGCTTATACGAAGATGACTGCAAAATCGAATGGAAATAATTAAGTAATAGAACATAATTTTGAGGCAGGCAAATCTTTAGTATACTTATAAATCGATCATAATTGCGACTATCTGGAAAGTGAAGTGTACATTTACATATTTATATTTTTTGTGCTGCAATCACTGATTTTTGTGATCAGACAAGTGGAGTGCTTTGATATGATATACAGTTAGTTTGCTACGAAGTAAGGTACACGTTTAAATAGTCCATTGTTTAGATTGAAACTATCCGAAAATCTTTAGAAAATCGGATTCATATAGACCATTATTAAGGTTTTGAACTCAAAAAAAAAAAAACTCAAAGCTAAATAACTTTTATTTACTTTTTTGAGATATATATATGACAATAGCATCGTCTGATCTGAAAATCAAGTGTACAAAGAAATAGACATTTGAATTTAACACTGAGTAAGTGATCTAGTAAAGGAATGAGTTGAAGATCAACAGATCCCGAAAACCAGTGAATAAATAATGGAATAATCGAATGCCTTAACCTCCGAGTGATAACATTAAAACTGAAAAGTGAGAAGACATTGCTAGGAAATGAAAAAGTCAAGAAAAGGAATGAATAATATTAAAGACAAAACAAAATCGGTTAATATGAATTATTAATTTGAAAATTTGATTTTAAATAAAATATGAAACTGTCCGAACACGACGGATATGTCCAAAATAGTCAAAGTAAAATCACGATGTTTCTGTCACAAAACTGTTCAAGTACAGCTAACAAGCTAAGAGCAAATCTTAATTAAAAATGCAACCTAATAAAAGAAAATATAGTTAAGAACAAAACTATTAGGAGCGGAATACAGGTAAAAGGGAATAATTTTGTATCGAAATAAAGGGACAAACAGGTGGGGTGTACGATGAGTTCTAGGTGCTGTTCTACGTCTATGCCTTTTTTTTAGGTCTACGTGAGAAGATCGCCGGGATGGACGATCGCAACTTACTTGGCGGTGGTCAGATTGAGAGCACTTGCTAGGCTAAATATGCATTCGATGGGGATGGAGGTTGGATTACTTGGGAATCGGGCGGGAAATGTACAAAACAAAGAGCCAAACATTTGATTAAAGTAAGTTCTCGATACGGATCGGTTATAGAGAAGATATGTATGAATAAACAGTTTCAATAAACGGGTGCAGGCAGGATTCCAACTCACTACTATTTCGGCACTCTAATCAGCTAAGAATATATCGGATATTATACGGGTATATATATCAGGAAACAAACCAACAAATCTTGCATACGAAACTGAAAACGAACTCGGGCAAGCTTCAATCACTTTCGCTCAGATTTGGGGGGTGCAGAGAAGAGAAAAGGGTGGCCAGAGTACCCACAAACCAGCGGAGATGGGCTCAGAACGCCCATGGCGGCGATCGTACCTTCATGATCTTGCACTGGGCCACTCCAGTCACCGTCAGTGGCACACCCTGCGAGGTCTCCACGTTCTCGCACATCGGATTGAGGGTCATCACGTTGAGGGACAGTCGCTGCACGTCGGTCACCAGCCACCACGCCCACGCCCATCCGCCCACGATCGTACGCTTCTTGGTCGATCCGCAGCAGCCACCTGGAAATAGAGGAAACAACACCAGAATGGGTTATTAATTAGCATTACATCTTCAGATATCATAATCAAATATTTTGGTATTCATTTACAGCGAACTTGAGCGTACGACACAATACTAATACTATGATTTTGAATGAGATATATGATATACTCAAGCTGCTATTCAAAAGTTCCTATAAGAGCCTACTGTTCTTTCTGATTTTATTTTTAAATTTTGTATGCTTTTTTGGAGTAGTTTTTATTTCATGATTGCTTTTAAGTTACAGTCCATATACGATGATTTCAAATTTATAGAATTTGATTGCCGAGAAAGTTTTAGGTATAGCATATATCTGTTTCTTACTAAACTAAACGAATAATAATTCAATGATGTATTTGATGATGAGACAATTTCAAATTTAAAGAATTAGAGCCCCTAGAAATGGTATTATATGGTTCTTTACATATGTATTCTGTAATCGATAAAGATTCTTTGGTTATACAAGGAGGCAATAGTTATTTGACATTTCTTTTGATATAAGATTGAGTGGATCCTGTGGAACCTTTGAAATTTTTTTTTCTATGATTTTGTCAAATTGGTTTTGTTAGCTTAATGAAGGTACTCCAAGTCTAGACCTACAAATCTTTTTGCCCACTTTAGTGCTGGAAAATTGACGTCACATGCACAGTGACCCACAAAAAGGTGTTGTCAGCAAAGCGCCGCCACCTTTGAATTTAGTGGAGCTTTTGGCGCTGTCCAGTTGACCAAATAGTAAGAGTGAAAGCATTTCGCCGAAGCGTGTGTTTAAATGGTGTGAGTGATGATGGGATGGCTACGTGCCGGCAAACACGTCACAAAGTCCAAAAGTCAATATGGGCTATATATTTTACTTAGACATCCAACCAAACAGGAAGCAATTGTCAAAGTCCAATTGTCCGAATTTCCATATCCATTGGACAAAGGTAACGGACTAACCGTCAAAATGGGGGCCCAAAAGGGCAGTTCTATGCTCTCCAAAGAGCCAAAAAGAGAGTTGAAGAGAGAGGGAGCATGGGAGTTTGGGAGAGCGGAGGAGAGAGAGAGAGCTACCATCTTTAGCGGTGTCTTCGGTGTCTTCGGCATTTCTTTCTTCACTTACCAAGCAAACCTCAAAGCGTGAGGTCGTTTTTTAAAGCTCCGCAAATCCGAATTCAACAATACACACGCTTTTAAATCACGCACGCATGCGCAAAAGCAAATGAAAGAGAAATAAACTAAAAGAAAAGAAAAGAAAAGAAAGAAAGTGCGCACAAGAATAAAAACAAACAAATCGCGCTAAGGAATTCGAGAATTCTTATTTTTGTTCCCCCCAAGTGAGTAAAGAGTGAAGAGAGCGAAATAAAAGTGTGCCAAGCGCGAAATTCGTAAAAAAAAAGAAATCAAATCAAACAAAAATGAATTTGGGCTCGAAACCAAAAAAAAAAACAAAAAATGGAATACGCATAAAAATTCTCCAACGCCTACGCAGAAGCTTTCTCAATGAAAGTGATTCATGCCGCTGTTTAAGTGTTATGCATTTCTCTTTGCCAATTGTTTAATTAACCGTTTAGCAAACCATTTTCATGTTGCATTTGCATTTTTGTGTTCAGTGTAGATTTTTTTTTAAATACCTTGAACTTGATCTGTGGGCACATTCAACTCTAACAACCTGTTTACAAAAACAACAACCAACAGCAGGAACAACAACAAGTTTTGTAATTGCCATTGACTTAAACAACAAAAACAGAAAAACATCATCAGTAGCAGTCTCAAATAGTTACTAGACTTTGATTATGTAAAAGATTGGCAAGAGGAAATGTGTTTCTCTCTCTTAACTTCTTCCCGTTTTTAAGATCAACAGACACAAAATACAGTCAAACTTCCGTTAAAGGCACAATGTTTAGTTCTTAATAGATAAATAAACTATTGAAGAACCACATGTTTTAAATATTTAATATTTTTTAACTAGTATCTTATTCCAAAAATGTAAATTTTTAATAATATTTACAAGGATAGTAAATCATTTGAACAGCATTATTACCTAGACTCTAAACACTGAACAAAATTTTTATATTCTAAAAATAAAGTGGTATAATTTTTTTATTTTTTTAATATTTGTTACATTTTATAATGGTTGCTTTATAATCATTTTTTTCCTTGAAACTATCAATTATTAAAACAAAGTGGTAGTTTTTTTTTTCATTATCAATATCGGTTACATATTACTATATCAAACTATGGTTAGCGATCTATTTGGTGTGCGAAAATGACACTTAAATTGTACTTAATGAAACAAAATTCGTGCTATTTAAGTTGCACTGTATCCACGTAAACTGGTTGCAAGTGAGAGGAGTACGTGTGAGTGAATATGTTAGGGAATATGTGAGTGTGCATCACAATTGTTGCATGCCGTTCGACCGGGAGTGAAAAGTTGCCAGCTGCCGCTTTTTTTTCAGCCCAGTAAAGTTTTATAATAGACTGGGAGATTTCACTTTTATGCGGGAGGCCCCTCAACCAAAGATGCCGCATCACACTTCCCTCTCTAACCCAAAGCCATACTCATATTACACCTTTTTTTACATTCCAAAACACTGGGTGCAGCACGTGACGCGAAAGATTTATAAAAAGTAGATGAAAAATCGTTGGGAAAAATAACTTAAAACGGGTTCAATAGCCACATAAAATTTAATTGCCATACATAATTAGAAAATATTTAAGGTAATACTTTGGTGTTTAACAAGTGTTTAAATCAAAACTATTTTTGCTTTATGAAATGGCTAGCAAATTTCTTCGGAAATAATGCTAATGTATTATTACAATCGGTTTTTAAAGAATATAAATCTGTTATAGTATCTGTTATTTTTTAATACTCCTAAGCAAGTACAACCTTTTATTGCCTTTAGATATAAGGGTGATGGTTTGTATTAATCATTAACTCTCAGATTTATCGATCACGATTATCTTGGGTCGTAATACTTCACAGAGTTGAGGGAATCCAATGCGAAGACGCAGCCAAATGTATGCATAACAAATGCAAGTTACGAAATCGACGCGATCAAAGCGATGCGTTCGTGATCAAAATATTGAGTATGAAAATCGCACCCTATAACCCGATTACATACAAAATGTCTATGTCACTTTTCATGTCATGTCCACTTCTCTGTATTTCTGTATTTCTTTATTCCCCAAAACCCACTTCTTTGCTCCAACTTCTCTTAGTAACCCAACAATTTTGATTGTCATTGCAGCCACGTTCCATCTAAACTTGGTCGACCTATATAAATATTTTATATATAAGACCCATATAGGACAGACCCCATTCGATCCCGACCCAGAAAATGAGCTCGGCGATCGTTGGAGCCGCCTCGGCAATTGGAGGAGCGGTGACGGCGGCCACCAGCAACAGTTGGTTCATCCCGATGCTGATGGCCGCGGTGGCCTATTTCCAGTACGAGGAGATCATCGATCCGGAGTCCAAGCCGAGTGACATCGGTGGCGACGACATCCTCGACCACTATGACTTTATAGTGATAGGAGCCGGATCGGCGGGGGCGGTGGTGGCGAATCGCCTCACGGAGGTCGAGAATTGGAACGTACTCCTCCTGGAGGCCGGCGGCGATGAAACGGAACTCACCGATGTCCCTCTGATGGCTGGCTATCTGCAGCTCTCCAAGGTCGACTGGCAGTACAAGACCGAACCATCGGGTACCTCATGTTTGGGTAAGTACATTTTATTGGCTAAAAGTTTATCAGGTTTTTGCCAAACATTTTTTATAATAAATAAAATTCATATAATTTTGATGTCTTAGTCTTTTGTTTTAATTGTAAAATAAATAAAACAACTTTTTGGAAATCAGTCACTACATTCCTACAAAAATAAATATAAAATGGTTGGGTAGATGACAAAATGAGCCAGTTGCCAGATAAAAAAAAAATATTTAAAACCAACATTTGCAAAATAAATATACATTTTGGTATATTAAAACTTGGTTTAAGATCAAATGTTTGAAAGGCGGATTAGGAATCCATATAGCTACCGTTTGGAAACTTTATAATTTTTTTAGTTTAATCTACAGTTGTTTTTTAATGTACAGTTTCTTTTATTAAAAGCAACATTTTCGAAATACATATTCATATGAGTATAGTTAAAGTTTGATTGAGATCAAGAGTTTTAAAGGCGAAATAGAAACAAAATTGAAATTGTATAGATCCATATAAATATAGATGTAAAACTAAATCTTTTCTATTTATTTTACAGCCATGCAAGGCGGACGTTGCAATTGGCCCAGGGGCAAAGTCTTGGGCGGCAGCTCCGTTCTCAACTATATGTTGTATTTGCGAGGATCGAAGCATGACTACGACAACTGGGAGGCCATGGGCAATCCCAGTTGGTCGTATCGCGATGCCCTGTATTACTTCAAGAAGTCGGAGGATAACACCAATCAGTATCTGGCCAATACACCGTATCATGCGACTGGCGGTTATCTCACCGTGGGCGAGGCGCCATATCACACTCCATTGGCGGCCAGTTTTGTGGAGGCGGGTGTGGAGATGGGCTACGAGAACCGGGACTTGAATGGCGAAAAGATGACGGGCTTTATGATTGCCCAGGGAACCACTCGTCGCGGATCGAGGTGTTCCACTTCGAAGGCTTTCCTCAGACCCGCCAGATTGCGTCCCAATTTGCACATCTCGATGAATTCGCATGTCACTCGCATTATGATCGATCCGGTGACGAAACTGGCATTTGGCGTGGAATTTGTCAAGGATCAGAAGCTCTACCATGTGCGGGCCACCAAGGAGGTGGTTCTATCCGGTGGATCGGTCAATAGTCCGCAACTGCTGATGCTGAGTGGTGTGGGACCGCGCAAGGAATTGGCCAAACATCGGATACCGCTCATCAAGGAGTTGAGTGTTGGTGAAAACCTGCAGGATCACATTGGCCTGGGTGGGCTGACTTTCCTGGTGAATCAGCCGGTGTCCATAGTGGAGAATCGCTTTCACACCATGTCAACCGTGCTGCAATATGCTGTCTTTGGCCAAGGACCTTTGACCATTCTGGGCGGCGTGGAGGGTTTGGCCTATGTGAACACCAAGTACGCGAATAGCTCGTTGGATTGGCCGGATATTGAGTTCCATTTCGTCTCCGGATCGACCAACTCCGATGGTGGTGCGCAGCTGCGGAAGGCTCATGGATTGACAGAAGCCTTCTATCGAGCTGTCTTCGAACCCATTAACAATCGAGATGCCTGGAGCATAATACCCATGTTGCTGCGACCCCGCAGCGTGGGTAATATTCGTCTGAGGAGTGGCAATCCCTTCGACTATCCCTACATCTTCCCAAACTATCTGACGGATGACTTCGATATGAAGACCCTGATCGAAGGCGTAAAAATAGCGGTGGCCTTATCACGAACGAAGGCGATGCAGCGATTTGGGTCTAGAATTTCGAGCATCCGATGGCCGGGATGCGAAAAGGTGCCCCTCTTCACGGACGCCTTCTGGGAGTGCATGGTGCGACGGTATACGTCCACCATTTACCATCCCGTGGGCACCTGCAAGATGGGTCCCTACTGGGACAAGGATGCGGTGGTGGACGCCAAACTGAGGGTCTACGGGATCCGAGGACTGCGCGTGATCGATGCCAGTATTATGCCCAAGTTGGTGTCGGCCAATACGAATGCCCCGGTGATTATGATCGCCGAGAAGGGCAGCGACATGATCAAGGAGTTCTGGATCAAGAACACCATTGTCTGAACGAATCCTCTTCGTAGAGTAGTTAAAACCTAGTTTTTATGAGCTGATTTCTTGACTAATCAACGAAATTAACTAAGAATTTAGAACCGTCTATTTCCATACCATAGTAATGGATCTTTAAACTTTCCGGATTCGATTTGAACATAATTCTTAGAAAACAGTTTTACAATTAGGAAATCAGTTCATAAAAACCAGGCTTTGTACATTGAATGTCTGTGAATATGTTTGCCTTCTGTGAGTGATCAAATGTCTGGACCAAGTGTGAATGCATGTGAGTGTTTGAATTAATTTTAAATGTCTTAGAAATAGAGCTTCCCCACAAGCTGCTGGCCCATCCAAAATTAATTATATTGAACTTTACTCTTTCCTTTTTTTTTTTGAAGTATTTTATAAGCTCTCCTTGTATTTATTTTAATTTTATGTGAATGAAATAATAAAAAAAGCAAAATATATTCTTTAGGTGGTTGCTGTTAAGTTGGTCAGGGTATTGTTTCTTTTAGCTTCAATTTCTATTAGTTTAGTATTTTATAGCTTCTCTATCTTCGACAAATATAATTTTTATGTGTCGCTGTTCGATAATTGATTTATTCCAGATAAGTGAGTCTTATTTCTATCGCTGATACTAAATACAATATTCTGTTGGTTAAAGTTCAAGAACATTAATATTTGGCAGATCATTTAGGTCGATTGTTCATCAATAAGTTAGAAATACATTATCGATATGCAAATATTTAAGAAATCATATTTTAGCTGTTAATTTCGACAGCTTTTTTCTACCTTTTGCGGTATCTTAAACTCAAATATATACTCAGCGTTTAGTGATTAGCTTTACATATAAAGTCAGCTTTTAGGATGTTAACGTTTTTTTATAAATCTGCCTTAAATCTTTATGCGTTGAGTGTTATATTTTTAGATCAATAAAAAAGCTGTGTTTTCTCCATATACGATAAATTCTGTTACGCCACCTGTTGGCCGGGGCCTCAAGCACAGAGCTATAAATATATATGGGCTTGAATTTGTTGATGTTTGCTTTCGTGTTTTTTTTATGGCTGCCAAACAGAAAGCAGAGCGAAATATAAAATAAAAGCGGGCAGCAGAGTAAATGTATAATTTCGTTGATATGGTTATCGTGCGCGACATTCTTTAATTGTGTCTAAAAAGCGGTACAGCCCGGTTCGGTTTTCAATTCAACTCATTAGTGTTAAAAATCAGTTGAAGATGGGCGATCGACAGCGCGTTGAAACCCTCTGTGGGGGAGTTTTCCTGCTCTTGATTTTGGGGGGAAGTCCCTGCTCAGTTGCCCAATTATTTTCGGTGGATAGCAGTGGCTTGGGTATTTCCCTAATGCAATCGGTGACCATGGCCTTAAACGCTTCCAGTCTCGCTCTGGCCAACAATACCGCCTGGCCAGAGCAGCACAATCCGCCGGAGGATCGATTGGAGATCGAGAACTATGACTATATAGTTGTGGGAGCGGGCAGTGCTGGCTCCATAGTGGCCAGTCGTCTGAGTGAACTGTGCCAGGTGAAGGTCCTGCTGCTGGAGGAGGGCCAACTGCCCCCACTGGAGTCCGAAATCTTCAGCCTGAGTGGAGCCCTGCATCACGATGCGAGGTACATGTACCTGGAGGAGGCCGAACCAAATCCGAAATGCTGCCAGGCCATGGCATCTGGTCATGGCTGTGTCTGGTGGCATGGACGCATGATGGGCGGCGGTGGAGCCATCAATGCCAACATCTATATTCCCGGCAGTCGGCAGAACTTCAAGAACTGGAATTCGACACTCTGGGATTGGCCACAGGTTCAAAAGACCTACACTCGCCTGCAACGACGCCTAAATCTCTCCTACCTTCAAGCTAATAGTCTCAGCCTAAAATTAGCCAATCTCATTTACTCTGGCTCCTCGGAATTGGGTGTGCCCCGAATGAAACAGCCCTTGATAGCCGGTTCCACCTTCGGTTACACCCATCATGTTCCCGTGACCATTAACCAAGGCCGAAGGGGCAGCAGTGCTCGCTTATACCTGGCCAACGATCAGGTGAATAGAAGACCCAATCTCAAGGTAATACGAGGAGCGCAAGTTCAGAAGGTGCTAATCAGCCCCGCGGGAAAGCAGGCCACAGGTGTAATTTACACCCTAAATGGAGTAGAACACACGGCAAAGTCCTCGGGGGAAGTGATCCTGAGTGCAGGTACCCTAAATTCCGCCAAGTTGCTACTGCTTTCGGGTATTGGACCCCGGAAAGAGCTCCAAAAATGGGATATACCCATCTACCAGGACCTGCCGGTGGGTCTAAATCTTCAGGATCATGGTATGCTGCCATTGTTTCTGTTTTTTGGTTCCAATTGTGCCGTAAATAGTACGCGGAATCCCACAGATAATCCCTATGCGCCCATTTCTATAACCAAATATCTTCTGGAAAACCAAAAGGGCCCTTTGGCCAGTGGCTTCTACATGATGGGCTACATCAACTCCAGTTCACCCAGTTCCAGCCATGGCGAACCCGATCTCCATGTGGTGGCCCACACTCTCTTGCCAAAGGGAAGTAGTGGCAGCTTTGGTTATTTGGGTTTCCGGCCAGAGCTAATTCAGGCTCAGCAAGAAATGCTGAAGAAATGGGATCTGCTGCAGATTATGGGTTCTCTAATGCATCCTTTGGCCCGAGGAAAAGTGAGTCTCTCTGGCAAGAATTGCTCTGACCAAGCCAAAATCGAAAACCATTATGGCGAAGCTCGAGAGGATCAGCAAACGCTACTCCGCTATGTGAGATATATTCAAAAGCTGACCAATACCCGATCTTTTCGTCGATGTGGTCTACGTTTCTGGTTGCCTCCACTCGAGGAGTGTGATATATTAACACCCGATTCCGATGACTACTGGCTGTGCTATATCCGATACTTTTATGTGGGTGCCTGGCATTCCGTGGGCACCTGTCGCATGGCTCCGCGAATGAATTTCCAGGAGGATGGCGGCGTGGTGGATGAAAGACTACGGGTTCACGGTGTGAAGGGTCTTCGCGTAGTGGATGCCAGTATTATGCCGGAGTTACCGGCGGGCAATACGAATGGACCCGCCATGATGATCGGCGAGAAAGGAGCCGAAATGATCCTCGAAGATCGCGGGCAGAAGAATGAGGTTGTTCAGGAATGCTGAATGCTACAATAAGATTTATATACATTTTAAGAGAAACTGCTACCAAAAATTGTTATATTTAATGATTTAGCTATAGTTTTGTATACATACTACTATGAAAACATTGAAACCTGTTAAATAGTTAAACCCTAAACAAAAAGACATAATTAAAATATAATTTAATTATAATTAAATAGTATTTTGATTTATCTTTATTTAATCCATTTTCATATTATTAAATGTACAATGTCTAGAACGCTTTTGGTTCAATTGTGAATTTATAATTAAACAAACAATTGCCCATATAAACGTTAATTTTTTGAATGCCCCCATGATAAATCCCTTACTTGTCAGTATAAATATAAATATATGTATGTATGTATGTATCAGAATGATTGTCTGAATGTTTAATCGATTGTTTGCCATGCTTATCACAGTTCTCAATTTATTTTTTGCTTACTTTTTTTTTAATTTTTGTTTTGTTTTGATCAGGCTGTTTATGGTTCTACTTGGGTTTTAGGTTTAAGCATACTTAATATATATGACCAGATACTAAATAATATATATTACTCTGATGATCATAGGGCATTATCTTATCGGGTTTATAGATTTGCTTTATAAATGTCTTTACATTTTGTATTAATGAAAATCAAACAAAAAAGTGTTTTATATAAAATAATAATAATAAACAAAATGCATATTTTGTAAGATATAAAAGTCACTTTAAAAACTATTTTTAATAGCAGTAATTTTGTATTATTATTATTTTAGAAAAATATACATTTTTGGTTGATTTCGCTCCACATGTTGGGTTCGCTTTTTAATGACAACATTATCGTCTTTAAAATTGATTGAGTTAGAGTTTCTCTTGAAATCATTCTTTTGCAGTCCAGTGTTGCCCTTTGAGTAGCTGGGATTGCAGAATGTTTGCCACATTGGTCAATGCACCCATAGAGAAATCGCTGCTTTGGATCAGCGAAAATGGCTTAAGCTGGATCAGCAAATTGGCTGGAGTACGCTGGATGGGTTCCCATCGAAAGTCAGTCAGTTGTGCTTTCACGATGACGGCGATCAACACGTTAGTGACGATGTGGCGGTTCCTGCTGACCCTTGGTCCCTCGGCCATGATCATCCTGCTCCTCAACAAGGGAATCCTCGAGCAGCGGTTGGATATTGTGGACGAGGCGCACCGTGTCCGTTCGATTCACATCGAAGATCTGCGGGAATCCTACGATTTTATTGTGATTGGCGGCGGATCGGCGGGCTGTGTTTTGGCCGCCAGACTCTCGGAAAATCCGGAATGGAATGTTTTGCTTTTGGAGGCTGGCGGGGATGAGCCCCTGCTCGTCGATCTACCGCAATTGTACCCGGTATTCCAGCGGAGTCCTTGGGATTGGAAGTATCTGACGGAGCCCTCGGATCGCTATTGTCTGGCCATGGAGGACCAGCGTTGCTTTTGGCCCAGGGGCAAGGTGCTGGGGGGCTGCAGCTCCATCAATGCCATGATGTATATCCGGGGAAATAGGCGGGACTACGATCACTGGTCGGAACTGGGTAATCCTGGCTGGGACTATGCCAACGTGCTGCATTATTTCCGCAAAACAGAGGACATGCGGGTTCCTGGCTATGAACATAATCCATATCATGGACATGGCGGCCCCATTACCGTGGAAAGATATAGGTGAGTGGGCAAATACGGGGGGCACTCTACAAAAATCACTTGGTTTTCAAAATCACTTATAAGTGTGTATAAAGTATGCTTTATATAATATACAGTATATTATTTTCAATCCGAATTATGGATGTTTCTATTTTTTATTGCTTTCCTTAAAACATTTTTATATTTTAAAATCCAAGAGATTTTTGCAGCATTCCCTGTTTACGATTGATGTAGTTATATAGGGGTTTTAAATAACTACGGTTTTGAAATCACTTGAAATGGTGCTAAAAATTATGAACTTAAAAAATTAAGGTCGTCTTTCGACATAAAGTTTACGACTTTTAGATTTTGAATATATTTTTACATAATTTTATGCACTTTTTTTTTACCCTTGTGATTTCGATGGCTCTTTTACACACCTTTGTAACTAGTTCTGAAAACCCCTTGTGATTTCTATGGCCCCCCTCAATAATTTCTTGTCCATTTCCTTAGGTCCCCCTCACCCCTTTTGGATATTTTCATGAGGGCTGCCCAAGAACTGGGCATGGTCCATCCCGATGGAGATTTCAATGGTCGAACTCAGACTGGATTTGCCCCGCCACATGGAACTTTACGGGATGGCCTGCGCTGCAGTGCCAATAAGGGATACATTCGACGAAGTTGGCAGCGTCCCAATTTGCATATTGTGCTAAATGCCTTCGTGGAGCGACTCCTGATTGATCCGCAATCCCATCGAGCCATTGGAGTGCTCTTCGAATATGGTCTGCTCAAGCATTCGGTGGGTGCCGAAAGGGAGGTGATCCTTGCGGCCGGCTCCTTGGCCAGTCCGCAACTGCTGATGGTCAGTGGTGTTGGTCCCCGGGAGCAATTGGAACCACTGGGCATTCCGGTGGTGCAGCACTTACCTGGAGTGGGTGGCAATCTACAGGATCACATCTCGACTACTGGAGCTGTATTCACCTTCGACAGTCGCCAGAATCGTCATATGTCCTTCATTGTCCCCGAAATGTTGAATGAAGAGGCGGTGGAGGAGTTTCTTCAGGGAAACGATAGCTTCTTCTATGCCATGCCCGTGAGTGAGGTTATGGGTTTCTTCAGTACTCGGTATCAGGATCCCCGATTGGATTGGCCCGATGTCCAGCTCTTCATGGGCAGCTATGCCTATGGGGCCGATGGCGGGATTGTGGGTCGCCGGGGAGCTGCCATCACATTGGATAACTACGCGGAGACCTTTGAGCCGTTGATCTACCAGGATTCCTTTGTGATAGCCCCCCTGCTGATGCGTCCACGCTCCAGGGGATTCCTGCAGTTACGCTCTGCGGATCCTAAGGTTCATCCCCGCATCCATGCCAACTACTATGATGATCCGCGCGACATGGCCATAATGGTGGAGGGTCTCAAGATGGCCCATCGTCTGAGCCAAACGCCGGTGATGCAATCCCTAAATGCCACCATGAATATCTACGAGTGGCGCAATTGCCCGGAGGTTGAGTACCTCAGCGATGCCTTCTGGGAGTGCTTGGCGAGATTCTACTCCCAGACGATCTACCACCCGGTGGGCACCTGCAAAATGGCCCCCGATTCGGATCCCGGCGGTGTCGTGGATCCCCGACTGAGGGTCAGAGGAATGCGGGGACTCAGGGTCATCGATGCCAGCATAATGCCCACTATTCCCACGGGCAATACAAATGCTCCGACTTTAATGCTGGCGGAAAGGGGAGCGGATATCATCAAGGAGGATTGGCGCCACTACAGAGATGGCGGCTGGAGTTAGGTACCATTGTATTACACCTTTTGTACCATAATTTAAGAACAATTTAACAGCAATAAACTAATTTGTACACAGAATATATGGCATGTGATTTCTCTACCTTAATATGGCACATATCTTTTCACTTGGCTTCTGAAAATACCATTTTTTAAATCTATTTAAACAAAATAAATTGACAGTGCGATACTGTATTGAACATTCTTTGTTCCTTATCTAGATTGAAAAAAAATATTTTGTATAGAAAATATATGGCGTGTGACTTCTCCATTCATAGCTTCTCACTTAGCTTCTGAAATTACTATTATTTTTCTTACACAAAGGTAGTATTTTAATATGTTTACTACCTAGCTTTAAGCAAGCGGTTTAGTCTTCAAATCAATAAGCTGAATGAGGTGCATGATATAAGCCCTCATAAGCCTTCTTTTCTTTAAATGCGACTTATAGCTTTACTTATCTACATTTAACAAGAATACTTTTCAATAACAATTCTTAATTTCATTTTATTTCAAGCGCATGTAACTCATGCAACATAAAAACCTTTATAAATAAACATTTCGTTTTAAATAAAGTAGTATATAAAGTATAAAATGCATACTTGGCTAATGGGACGCATACTCTTTATGGCATTGAATTGGATTGAATGCCTGGGAGTCAACGAATTCCAGCACTGTGATTATCAATCCATATATCAATTGGAATTAGCAAACTGCCTAACCATATAATGGGGGGAACTATATAGCCATTGTTGCCATTCCCCGGGTCAGCTAATTTGCTTTGGTAATGATCTTGGCATTCATTTGACTCTTGTTGCAGTTGTCAGTTTCCCATTTTCAATTCAATTCAGTTTAATTTTCATTTATGCTTTTTTCTCTATTTCTAACAGCGAAAACTTGATACAAACATTTCCCAGCGCTATGAACTTTTGCAGTTTTGTAGCGATTATTTTTGATTTCGTAGTCAGTAACTTATTTATTAGAGTATATTCGTTTTATAAGCTTTTTGTGACTGCACATTAATATTGATTTATAATTTTTTAGTATTTGAGGGCTTTTTAAATTGAATAGGTTACGGACAGCTTCAAAAGAAAATTTACTATTAAGAAACAAAAACATGGTAAATAAAAATACTATTTTGACTGACAAACTAACGATTCTGTTAATACAAGATCGTTACAATTTTCAATTAGTTTTAATTTATTTAAGATAATATTGAGGTTTCTATAGAAATTTCAACAATTTTTGAGTATATTATGTTTTTTACATAGCTATAGGTGCGTAAAAGTATTCAACAATATATTTATTTTATTTCAAAAGGCAGAGTTAATTGTTTTAGTCCATACTTTGAACAAATTCCAAATTCCTAAAGATTTTTTGGGTACAACTTTCGAAAGACATCTTATATTCTATAAAATTAAAAAACTGTAAATTAATAAATTAAAACACCTTTTACGTTAAAAATAAACTAATAAGTATTTCAGAGTTTTATAAATGCATTTAAAGCATTGTTCTGAATCGTTTTCTGTCCGTAATTTATGAGCGGCCACTGAACTGAAATGGCAAATGGCAGCGCGAAGCTTACGAGTTTGACCAGTTTGGGTGCCCCAGTGGGCCATGGCTTTGCTTTGGGCCGCGATTCGAATCGGAAAAGGTTTTCGAGACTTTTCATGCGAGTGTGCGGCGATCGAGTGGGTCAGTCCACGTCCGCCACTGATCGCAAGATGACGCTCCCGGAGCTGCCCCTAAAATCAATTCAAATGGTGATGGTGATGGTGATGGTGATGCTGCTCCTGGGTTCCAGCCTGGCCAATCCGCAGCAGTTTCTACTGGCCGAAGACTTAACAACTGCTACTGGAACAGGCACCGGAACCGGAAATGGTGCAGATGCCGTGCCCATCAACGATCCTTCTGGTAGGTTTTAAAAATCATTAAATATTTTTTTTTAATTGTTTAATTTCCAAAATCCTGTTAAATATTATTCATTTTCACAATTGTCTTTTTTTATTATAAAGCTTTTTTTATTAAAATGTCCCATAAGAGTTACTATAATAGCAAGCCAAATATATTTATTTAATTTTCCAAATTCTGTTAAATGTTGTCCAGTTAAAATTGACATTTCTGAACAATAAGCTTTTGATATTTAAGTGCCTACGGGAACTACCCTTTTTAAAAGCAAAATTACTGCTTAAAAACAAAAGTATAGAGCTTATCAGATTTACTATCAGATAATGAAAATGTATAAGTGACAAATTGAAAAAATTTCTCTGTTCTCTTTTGACTATGTCTTCTGAAGAAACAAATGTCTGATCATAAAACAATATTTTATTATACTTATATGTAAAAGTCAAAATAAATATTTTTAGGACATTCTTGTTAATATTATAATTTAAATAATTATGATATTGATCATCACATTATTATTTAAAACTTATTATAATGTGAAAAATTCTACTCATAAAATGTTGTTCTCTACTTTAAGTTATTGTCTTCTAAACAAAAATTTATATTTGTTTTTAAAGAAAATCATGTTTTTTTTTAATATTTTAATCATGCAATTTAATATACATTTAAATACTATTAAATTTTTGCTTCAGTGTAGGAATTTGAGATATTTCCCCTTTTTAGATTGTTCGATCAAAGCAGCAATAACGTTAACTATATTTTTGAAAATTTCAAATTATATAGACGACTTAATGACCTGTAATCCTGGTTTTTTTTTGTTTCAGATCTGAGTGCTAGTTGGATTTCGCAATAACTCTAACTATATTTTTGAAAGTTTTAAATTATATAGACGACTTAATGACCTGTAATACTGTCTTTTTTTGTTGCAGATCTGAGTGCTGGTTTGAATTTCGCGCCCGTTGGAAGTCTAATTGCGGCCGCTGCGAATGCCGTGCCCCCCGCCCCCGTTCAATTTATACGCACGGCCATGAACAGCGGGCTCTGACCGCCAGGTGGCGCTAACCTGAATTCTTGCCCACCCCAAAAATAATTATCTCTAATTTTTAAGCGCCTTTTTAAGCTCCACTTTTAATTACTCTGTTAAGCGTTTGTTTTTAGTTGCCTTTTTTAAGTTGCCTTGTTTTGTTGTCGTTTGTTGTCTTTCTGTGTGTGTTCTTTTTTTGTTGAGATTAGTGCTATAAATGAGTTTATGACACTTGTTTTATCTGGTTATGACTTTTTGGAGCGATAAAAATGTGCAATTGGGGGACCTCAGTCTCAAAAGCAATTTGTTATCTGAATCTGCTATCGTGGAACTCTCTCTATTCTACATTTTTTTGCTCTTTTTTAATCTATTTTTTTTGAGCCTTTATATGGCTGACAAAATTAAAACAAATAAAGAACAAGTGGTAATTCAAGTACAGTGAAGTGAATTAAAAGTCGTCACAATTCAGCAAAGATATTTCAGTTTAAATGTAAAGTCTATCCCTCTAAAAAAGAAATAAAGAATATATTTGCAGCTCTTTCGTCTGACTTAAAAGTGTAGATTTAAACAAAAAATAAATTCGAATTTCCACAAAAATAATAATATTTTTTATTTTTTAGTACAATACATTTCGTTATGCACTTTGAAAGTATGAATTTGTTAGTTTTCTTTTCTATAAATATTTTTAAGAAATTGAACAACCAACTAGTTGTCGCTAACAACAATGTAAGTCGCTAATAAGAATTAAAAGGAACATATAAATTGTATTATATTGTATAAAAAAATATTCTTACTTCTTCCAGAGTGCGATAGCGATCGGAAATAATGTAAAGTAATTAGAAGAATGTAGTTCAAATGAGCAACTGAGATGAAGTAGAGGCGCACACCCATTTAAGAACTGGATCAGTCACTCAAATGTGAGCTGATTTCGATTGTCATTCTGCTGTTAACGATGCTGATGCCGATACTCACACAGAACAAAATTATAGCTTTAAATATAGTATTCAAGCGATGTTAATATTAAAATGTGTAAAAGGTATATGATTAGTTCCAGTAGAATTCTACCTACCGCAAAAATGCTCTGCTTCTCATTTCCACAAGCAAATATTTAAAGGAAATTCTAGAAATTTTAATGGATAACGAAGATACAAATTAACAAATTTTCCCCTCCTTTTCTTTGTGATTCGATATAATTTTGATAGCTCTATATTTAATGAAATGGATGGTTTTCATTGAGTTATAGTTTTTATAATAACAGCTATAAGCGTGTGGTCACGAACGAACGCAGAATAGAAATCGACTTGTGCTTAATCTAGGAATCTAAATCTAAATTTGAATCTGAGAAATGGAATGGACTACACTGTGCTACAACATTTGACCTTTATTTTTTGTTAGCATAAATAAGTCTAATTTTCTAATAGTTAAAGATGCGCAGATATCGAATGGAACTCAAAGTTGGTAAAATTCAGTCTCAATAATACGAACGAAATTCAAAAAAATTCTTTAACAACATGGCTAAATGAAAATATTAAGCTTCAGAATGATTCTTTTCAAAAATTTTTTTAATTTTTATTAAAGTGTTAAACATATCAAATATTAAGTTGTCCAGGGTTTTATCTCTTTGTGTAATAAATAATCTAATCGATCGCTATTTAGTACATTTTTTTCCCTGTGCATTCGTGACACATTCGCACGCGCTTCTCGGTTGGCAGAGTCAACGTCCTCGGCGGACGGATGGTTGCAGCAGGGGGAGGATGCACTGTACCCGCTTATCAGACAACCGGCTATAAAAGCGAATCTCCACCGGCGAGTGCGTCTCAGATATAGAAGAAATCGCGTCCAATCGAGTTCCATTCGAAACGCACACAAAACACAATGTCGCACACCGGCAGCCAGACCGTTGGCGGTCCGTTTCAATGTGGAAATGGCACTGATCCTGCTCCTCCAGCCATCGGATTGTGGAGTGGAATGGTCTCTGTCCTCTTGCAATCCCTTCTCTCCGCCCAATGCCTGGTTTCACCTGCCAGCCACTGGCCAGCGGATTACCGGGGGGACTTGAGTCAACCCTATGACTTTGTGGTCATCGGAGCCGGATCTGCAGGATCTGTGGTGGCCAGTCGACTCAGCGAGAATCCCCAATGGAAGGTGCTCGTCCTGGAGGCGGGCGGAGATCCACCCGTCGAATCCGAGGTGAGTCCAGCATTTGATTGTAATTACCTCACTCATTAGAAGTGTATACTTGCCTAACACAGTAAGGTCATAAACGGTTTTATTATCTCGCAGATAACGTTGTTTTTATGCAAGCATTTTTTTAATACTAAATAAACACTTGTTCTTACATAAAAAATCAACTACAGTCGAGCTTCCCTAATTTAAGCTTTTTGGAATCAATGACATATCTTTTATTATTATTATAACCCCAAACATATTATAAAAGAAAGAAAGGATATTTTTTTTTTATTTTTTCGAATTGTTCCTATGGAAACTATATTATATGATCGTCCGATCCGGCTTATATTCTACCTGTAACAGCTTTGGTAAAGTTTCATGCAGATATTTTTTAAACTAAGAGTCTAGATTGCGTAGATACGGACAGACGGACGGACATAGCTAGATCGACTTTTCTAGTCATGCTAATCAAGAACATATATACTTTATGGGGTAGGAAATGTTTCCTTGTGGAAGAGTATTTAAATAACACTTTTTCTTCGATCCAAAAAGGGTACAATTTCTATAAATTTTAAATAAGAATCAAAAACTCTAACTGTATTTTAGTTTATGTACCCCAAAGTTAAAAGTTAAGGCAGGCATTAACATTTTAATTATAGTCATAAAATCTAAAACATTTTAGTAAATGCAAAGATATAATAATACTGCTTTGTGATCTAAGTTGATTTGATTTCAATACTATCTAAGCTTATTATGGCTACTTATATCATATATTACTACCTATTTACTCTTATAACATTAGTAAATTATTAAACTTGTAAATTCGAAATCTGTTTCAGTTGCCGGCATTATTTTTTGGCCTTCAGCACTCGGCATTCACCTGGAATTACTTCACCGAACCGAGTGACAAGTCGTGTCAGGCCATGAGGGATGGTCGCTGCTATTGGCCGCGTGGCAGGATGTTGGGAGGATCCTCAGGAGCCAATGCCATGCTGTATGTCCGCGGCAATCGCAGGGATTTCGATGGCTGGGCGGCAATGGGAAATAGCGGCTGGAGCTATGACGACGTCTTGCCCTTCTTTGAACGATCCGTGACGCCGCAGGGTAATGCCACATATCCCAAGGGCTATGCTACGCTTGGTGCCTTCGAGCGACAGGATGATGCAATTCATCAGATGATCATCGAGGGCGGCCGTGAGTTGGGATTGCCGTACGTCGAGCGATTCCAGGAGGGCAGTGAGACGGGCTATTCGCATGTGCCGGGAACCGTGAGACAAGGCCAAAGGATGAGCACGGCCAGGGGTTACTTGGGTTCGGTATACCGAACCCGACCCAATCTTCATGTGGTGAAGAATGCCAGGGTGACGCAACTGCATTTGGATGCTGATACCTTGACGGGGGTCACCTTCGAAAAGGCCGGAGTTAGCCACCAAGTGGCGGTCGCCAAGGAAGTTGTGCTCTCTGCCGGAGCCATCGATTCACCAGCTCTGCTCCTGCGTTCCGGCATTGGTCCCGCTCAACACTTGGAGGACTTGGGCATACCCGTGCAGCTGGATCTCCCAGGCGTTGGAGGCAACCTGCAGGACCATGTGCTAGTGCCACTCTTTTTGCGACTCGACGAGGGTCAGGCCGAGGCAGTCACCGAGAAGGGCATGCTGGATGGCATATATCAGTACCTAATCCATCGCAGAGGCCCTTTGGCCACTCACAGCACCGCCTCCCTGGTGTCCTTCATCAACACCAATGCGAGTAGCAAAAGTGTCTATCCGGATACGGAAAACCATCACCTGTTCTTCCGTAGAGCCGATCATGCAGCACTGGAAATGTTCACCAAAGGCTTGTCCTTCCAAGAGAAATATATTCAGCCCCTGCAGGAATACCTAAAGGAATCGCATCTTCTCTGTGTTTTCGTGCTACTCTCGCATCCCTTGGCTAAAGGTGAACTGCGACTGAGGAGTCGAGATCCGAAGGAAGCACCCGCTCTGACCAGCAATTACCTAACGGAGGAGCAGGATGTAGCCACATTGTTAAGGGGCATACATTATATAGAATCCCTAGAGCAGACCAAAGCCTTTCGGGATCATCGCGCCGAAATAGCTCGCATTCCCATCGCGGAATGTGATCATCTGAATTCCTTCTACCGCAGTGAGGAGTACTGGCGATGCTATGCCAAATATTTCACCATCACCTGTTACCATCAATCGGGCACCGTGAAAATGGGTCCCGCCTCCGATTCCGAGGCCTGTGTGAGTCCACGTTTGCGGGTCCACGGATTGAGGAACCTTCGGGTGGCGGATGCCAGTGTTATGCCATCGGTGGTCAGTGCCAATACTAATGCGGCCACCGTGATGATCGGCGAAAGGGCAGCTCATTTCATCTGCGAGGATCACAACGGCACCGAAAGTGGCAGCGATGGAAGTCCCTCGGTGCCGCACATGCATGCGGATGATTTCTAGTTGTTTAGTTTTAGGAATTCCAAACACAGAACACCCCCATCACAACTGGCAACTTGACAACACATTGTCGATATCAAAGTGATGTACATAAAGTACGTAACGGTTGCACTATCACGATAAGGGTACTTTTACCCTCTTTTTTCTTTATCAAATAAGATTGAAGATATTGCTCAAAAATGTTATTAAAAGTACAAAAATTATGCATAAGTTACTTTTTTTGATTTTTTTTTTGGTTTGTCTAAGCCAAATTTGTTTACACATTAGTAAGTAGGTAACTCAACTTAATATATGCTTGTATGTTTGAGGTTTGGTTGTTGAATAAAAATAATGATAAAAACAATATTTTTTAACATTTCATAGAAAAAAAGGGGATAGTAAGAAGATGTTTTCAGAATTTCCTAATATAAAAAACATCTCTACATAGTCTGATTTACCATTTAGATTTTTTTTAATTAATAGTCCTAAATTTACAATTAAGATATAGTTTTGGAAGACATTTAAGGTTTAAGTACCAAAACAATATATAACATAATTTATTAAAACTTAAAAAAAAAACAAGAAAATATACCATAGTTCATCTACAGAGCTTTTCCATCATCTAGACCTTCAAAAAACCATAAAACCACAAGGAGCTTAGCAGACAGAGCATCGAATTTGAAGGGGAATCAGAACGAATTCGCAGATGGCCGAAAATCGTATCCCAAGCCACATTTGCCACATGATTAAGATGTTTAGCATATCTGCGACTAAACTTGACCCACAAACCCACACAACAGGTTTGCCCAAAACGGCGATACCTCAACAAAATAACAAAATAAACATAAAAATGTGCTTATCAGCTGCTAGAACCCAAAAATACCACCCAGGAGACTACCAAAACAGCCCCCCATCGATCCTCCAGCACACGAGCATACAGATAAGCGAGTGCAAAACGCGGGAGACTCTTGATTCTCGAATCTATATTCTCGATTCTCGATTCTCGATTTTGGGTGGCTTCTATGGGTCGCTGGGGTTTATCACACCTCGTTTAGCTAATCTTCGTGTGATAAGGGGAGTGCCGAGCAGCTGCTACAAGGCGGAAGGTGCGTCTAATTTATGTGTGCTATATGGTATACATGTATACATGTATGCTATATACTGGAGGCGAAATGCAAATGTCTCGGAGCGCTTTTGATTTACGAACGCCGATGGCGTACGAAAAGCGTTCGCAGCCCGGCCGTACAAATTCCGGCTGAATGCCGGTCCCATTGAACAGTTGCCGTCGAGCGGAGTGAACGAGCGAACGTGTGCGGCAGGTGGATTACGTATATTCGGAGTCAAGGATTAACCGAGGATTTGGCTAAGGATAACCCGAGGACTTTCAGTGCATTTCCTGCGCTTAGGTAGGCAACAG